ATTATATATTTATATTTATATTTATATTTATATATATAAACCCTAAACCATTATTTATTTATGTATATATTTATACCTTTTATATTATATATATTCTATCTAGTGTTTATTCGAACAATTATTGACAGAAAGGAATGGCAATAAATATACATTGGGGTATATATATATTTATATTTATATTTATATTTATATTTATATTTATATTTATATTTATATTTATATTTATATTTATATTTATATATTCAGGGATAATACAACTGGTATAAGGGATAAAAAGGGAAAGTATATATAACACTAAACCCTAAACCCTAAACCCTAAATTGTTGTTTAGCTTACTACATAGACTTGTTTAAGGAGTTGAGGTATTGATCGAGGATCAGCAAAACTTCGAGTCTTTTGCATAGATGAGTTCGGCTTTAATGTAACTGTTCCTTGACGAACTGGTCGTCGTTGAATCTCCACCGTCGCCTTACGCTCCATCTTCTAGGGTCTAGGGTTTAGGGTTTAGGGTTTAGGGTTTGGGTGAGTGATAATGCGTTTGGGCTCCGTATGGCACAACAACGTGCACACACAAAGCAGATATGTCGTGATGTACGAAGAAAATATTATAAGAAACCCATCAAAAAATACAGATCAACTCCTGCTTCTAGGGTTTAGGGTCTAGGGTTTTGGGTTTAGGGTTTAGGGTTTAGGGTTTAGGGTTTGTTCGTGACGAGCGCCGCGCCACTTCGAGGTATCACCCTCGGATATCGGAGAGGGCTCCTCCTCCTTTTGAAGAAATCAAAGATTACAGTTTAATATTTAGGGTTTTGGGATTGGGGTTTAGGGTTTGGGGTCTAGGGTTTAGGGTTTATGTGCAAGCGTTTAGGCTCCGATGGTCGTCGCGCCCAGCGGAAAGTCGATTGCAAGAAGAAGCGCTGCATGTACACCCCAATAAAACCTTCCTTGCAGTAATTGATATAATAATAAGTAAATAAATAAGCAAATAAAGCAAAATAGATAAAATGAGGCCAAAGAAACACCGAAAACCATAAACCATAAACCCTAAACCCTAAACACCAGGGCCCTGAACCATTGGCATGCCGGCGCCGGCTGTGCAGGTTAAGAAACCCTAAACCCTTAAACCCTAAACCCTAGCAACGATTAAAAATATTAAACCCTAATACTCCACCTATTCACGTTTCCCTAAAATAACCTACTAAAAAGTCTTACATAAGCCACCAGACCCTAAACCCTACAAACGTAAACCCTAAACCCTAAACCCGAAACCCTAATACACAACACCGAAGCTTCCTCGGTTATGCTGTCTTCAGAGTGTACGAAAGGCCCAACTACTAAAGCTAATCCATAAACCCTAAACCCTAAACCCTAAACCCTTTGGTTACATGGGGAGCAGCGTGTTGGATAGAGTTGGGTGTGTCGATTAGTGTTTGAGAGCTGCTTCTCTCCCCTTAGTGAAGGTTTGTAGTCGAGGGTTTAGGGTTTAGGGTTTAGGGTTTAAGGTTAAGCGCAGCGCCACAAGGGCGGTAGGAGGAAGCATGCAGGATAGCAACAGGGGTTGCAGCAGCAACAGCAGCAATGGTAGCAACAGCAGCAGTAGTAACAGAAGTAACAACAGCAACGGCGGGAACCAGCAGCGCAGCAGCAATATATTTTATTTATTTATTTATTTATTTATTTATTTATTTATTTATTTATTTATTTATTTAGTGTATTCTTTTATTAGCTGTTCTTAAGGATGACACTGTTATAGCCTAACTATGCAATGCTTTTCCCTTTTACACCAAGCTAAACCCTAAACCCTAAACCCTAAACCCTAAACACTAAACCCTAAACACTAAACCCTAAACCCTAAACGTTATCGGTGGGAAAGTTGAGGTGTATATGCAGCAGGGCCTGGGTATGAACTGCTGAGGGTTTATTGTTTCTTATTGCTGCTGTTTGCATGCACCCAAACCCTAAACCCTAAACCCTAATTCCTGCGCAACAGCCTTCAGTCGTGGGGATACGTTATGTGGTTTGTTGTCTGCTGCTGCTGCTGCTGCTGCTTCTTTTGCTGCTGCTGCTGCTGCTCCTGCTGCTGCTGCTGTTGGTATTATTGCTGCCCCTCAAGGCCTAGGGATGTGGCCTTCATTAACTTCTGCTGCAGCTCCTCAAGCTGCTGCTGCTGCAGCGCAAGCCTGTCTCTCTCCTGCTGCAGCAACAGTAGCTGCTGCTGCTGCTGCTGCTGCTGCTCCTGCCCTGCTGCCACCATCATAGACGGAGACACCGCTTGTGTCTTCTTCAATTCTGCTGCAGCAAACGCGCCGTGCTGCCCCCCCTGCTTCAGCAGCATCTGCTGCAGCAGCAGCTGCTGCTGCTGCGGGTTTTGCTGCTGCTGTTTATGCCGCTGCCTTGCTTGAGTCAGAGGAGTCACTGCTGCTGCTGCTGCTGCTGCTGCTGCTGCAGTTGGTGCTGCTGCTGCTGCTGCTGCCCCTCCTACTGCAGCCATCCCCAGCATGCCACCAGCAAGCGTGCGGTCTCCTCCTTTCTTAGCTGCTTGCTGCTGCTGTCGATGTTGCTGCTGCTGCAGCTGCTGCCGCAGCAGCAGCTGTTGCTGCTGCGCCAATGAAGTGCCTTGCAGCTGCTGCCTGTAGATGCCAGCTTGCTGCTGCTGTTGCTGCTGCTGTTGCTGCTGTTGGAGCTGCTGCATTTGTTGTTGTTGTGGTTTGAGCAACTGCAGCATTTGCTGCTGTTGCTGCAGTTGCTGCTGCAGCAGCAACTGCTGCTGCAGTGCTGCTGGATTAACAGGTGTGAACTGTCTATGCATCTGCATTAGCTGCAGCTGCTGCATTTGCATTAGCTGCAGCTGCAGCTGCAGCTCCTGCTGCTTCTTCTGGTCCTCTCGTTGCTGCTGCAGCTGCTGCTCTAGGTACCGCAGCTGCTGCTGCATTAGTTCTTTATTCCTGTCTCTCTTTTGCTGCTGCTGCCACTGTTGCTGCAGTCCATCAGGTAAGCAGCAATTGCTGCTGCTGTTGCTGTTGTTGCTGCTGCTGCTGCTGTTACTGTTGGGGGTACGGAATGCTTTGGACCTGTCGAGAGGTGAGTGCAGGTCCCTGAGTTGCTGCTGCTGCTGCAGCTGCTGCTGCTGTAGCAGCTGCTGCTGTAGCATCTGCTGCACCTGCTTCTGCTGCTGCTGCTGCTGCTGTGGCTGCCGCTGTTGCTGCTGCCGCTGAGGAAAATGCCTGCTTGCTTTTGTTGCTAGTGTTGGTGTGTTGTTGCTGCCTGCGGATCTTTTGTTGCTGCGGCTGCTGCTGCTGCTGCTGCTGTTGCTGCTAGGCGGGCCTCGGCAAAGTCTTAGTTGCTCGAGGATTTTGTGTATGGGAGACGAGAGAGGAGGAATGTTGCTGCTGCTGCTGTTGTTGTAGCTGCTGTTGCTGTTGCTGTTGTTGCTGTTGTGATAGTTATGTTGTTGTTGCTGCTGCTGCTGCTGGCGCTGCTGCTGCTGCGGCGGCTTGTGCTTGGACCCGCGGTTCCTCCCCCTTTGCTGCTCCTGCAACTCTTCCACCTAAAATACACCCAGACCCCTAGAGACAAATCACAATCTGCCAGCGACAAAAAATATCTTGGGTTTAGGGTTTAGGGTTTAGGGTTTAGGGTTTAGGGTTTAGGGTTTAGGGTGTATGGTCACCTTGGACAGTACCATAGAAAGCGCCACAATTTGCCGTTCGCCTATGAAGGTTGTTGCCTCTATTAGACTTTTCATGAAGGGGACGTCTGTTCACAAGTTACAGCTGCCGGCATTGAGGGTTTAGGGTTTAGGGTTTAGGGTTTAGGGTTTAGGACTTAGGGTTTAGGGTTTAGGATTTAGGGTTTAGGGTTTACGGTGTGCTAGGGTGCCGCCAGGCACGTGAGCTTCGACTTCACACACTTGCACCGTGTACGGCTTCAGGTTCATCGGAAGTGCGCACGAAGTACGACCTAGGGTTTAGGGTTTAGGGTTTAGGGTTTGTGTACCTTTGAGGAAAAGTTCTTGTGGTAGTAGGGAATGAGGTAAATAAAGAGAAGGTACGCCGTTATATTCATAAAGACGATGAATAGAAGAAAGAGCACGAAAGAAAGAAAGAAAAAAATTAGATGTTCTGCTTCTTAGGTGTATACCTACTAAATATCTGTATAAAAAAAAAGATATATATGTATATACAATAGACAGACAAACCCTAAACCCTAAACCCCAAACATCTGGGGTAATGTCGTAATGCTTGGGGGTGTCAGAGCATGCATCTTGGTGTTGTAGGATTTCGGGTCTTTTTTGCGGGTTTACGGTTTGGATACTAGGGTTTAGGGTTTAGGGTTTAGGGTTTAGGGTTTAGGGTTTATGGCTGATAACTCACCGCTCGCTGTTAACACGGCGACTCCTGAAGGGTTAGACGATTAGACAGCCACGGAATAGACGGCGCACTGCGTACACCAGACTTGCCTGAGGAGGGGAGCACGCAAACCCTAAACCCTAAACCCTAAACCCTAAACCCTCGGTTTTGTTAAGGAAAATACCATGCCTCGTGCGCGGCCAAACCCTAGACCCTCAAAAACCCTCAGCTAAACCACTGGACTCTTCTTACCCCAGCTAAACCCTGATCTAAGCCTTCCCCTTTAGCCCTGCAAACCCCCCATAAACCCTCCTAAACCCTCGTAACCCTAGTTAGGGTTTCTTATCCCATTGTGCCTAAACCCTCATGAGCCAAGTGTATCCCTCTAAACCCTTGCAAACCCTAAGGGTTTACAGTGAATACAGAGAAGGAATCAAAGATCTTTATAACAAAATGTCCTCCTTGCTGCAGCAGCAGCAGCGCAGCAAGAAATTCTGCCAGCAGCAAACGACCAGAAAAAAGTTCTTGAAGAGTTTCGTCTTGATGCAAAATATCATTCGGGTCTGAATAAAAAGAAAAAAAAAAAAAAAAAAAAAAAAAAAAAAAAAAAAAAAAAAAAAAAAAAAAAAAAAAAAAGGAAAAAGAAAATAAAAATAAAAAAGAATAAAAAAGAATAAAAAAGAAGAAATAAGAAGAAAAAGAAATAAAAACACAAAGAAAAGGAAAGAAAAACGATACAAAAAATATTCATAGTCAGCAGAAATGCAGTCTGCTGCTGCTGCTGCTGCTGCCGCTGCTGCTGCACATCAACTCCAAGGAAGGGAGGAACGGTGCATGCATGCATGCATGCATGTTTGCTGCTTGCTGCATGCGAGGAGGGGGGTGTACATACGCCTCAAGGTAGCAGCAAACCATAAAACCCCCGACAGTGCAGCAGAAGGCAAGAAACAAACCCTAAACCCTATAACATGCAAACCCTAAACCCTTAAATGCATGTACACCGCAAACCCTTGAAGGCTGCACTCATTCAGCTCCACTTTCCACTCACTAATACGGCCTAGGGTTTAGGGTTTAGGGTTTAGGGTTTATTTACAGGAGCCCCTAGGGTTTAGGGCTTACTGGTAACAGCCGCGCCGTCTGCCATAACCAAAGTGACGCCTTCTTCAAACCCTGGCACAGGGTCTGCTGCAGCAAACCAGCAAACCCTAAACCCTAAACCCTAAACCCTAAACCCTAACGCCCTAAGCCCTAGTCCTCAAACCCCAAGCCCAACATCCTGCGTCAAACAGCCACGTGAAAACTAACCCAGGTTGTGCTGTCTTCCCTGCGTATTCGAGCCCAGCTGCTGTTGCTGCTGCTGCTGTTGCTGCTGTTGCTGCTGTTGCTGCTGCGGCTGCTGCTGCTGCTGCTGCTTTGACCTCAAGAATTCAAACACCGCTTGCGCTGTACTCTCGATGTTGCCGGGGGCGCAGAGGTCGCCAGTGCCATCCCCGCCCCACAGCGCTGCATGCAGAAACCCTAAACCCTAAACCCTAAACCCTAAGAGGAACAAAGCACCATCATTCGTGAAGGTCAATGGTATATACACCAACGTAGACATGTGACTGCAGCAACTGCAGCAGCATCACAAGCAGCAGTTGCTGCAGCTGCTGCAGCTGCTGCAGCTGCTGCAGCAGCGTAGAAGCAAGAGGATGCTGCAGCACCGGAAGATACACCAAATGAGGTCTGCAGCAGAACGACGAGGAGCAGCAACGGAAGCAGCAGCAGCCAAAGCAGCAGCAGCCAAAACAGCAGAAGCATCACAAGCAGCAGCAGCAGCAGCAGCAGCAGCAGCACAGCTTACGTGTGAATCGGGGGTTGCTGGTTAGGGCTGCATACCAGCTATCCAGTGGTGCTGTATCTGGTAACATAAGAGTTATTCCAAGTCCATAGACCTCCGCCTGCTGCTGCTGCTGCTGCTGCTGCTGCTGCTGCTCCATTCGACTCTGGGATTCTGCTAGACGGCGCAGTACTTCTGCTGTAATAGCAGCAAACAAATCCTTGTCGTTTGTCATGCCGTTGTTCAGTTTGTTGTCTGCATGCGGTCCCCCTGCTGCTGCTGCTGCTGCTGCTGCTTCTGCAGTTGCTGTTGCTGCAGCACGATCTGTTGTTGCTGTTCTGCCCAGTAAATACAAACTCCAAGCCCCTGGTCCCCCACAAAGGTCTATGAATACACGGACGGGCTTCCTCTCAGGTGGGGCATCTGCTGCTGCTCCTGCTGCTGCTGCTGCTGCTGCTGCTGTTGTTGTTGTTGTAGCAGGTGCATCATGTCCTCTTGCTCCATTTGCTGCTGCGCCTTGCTGCTGCTCACCGCCTTGAACAGTAGTGCTGCAAGGAGCAGCTGCTGATGGCGGCACCTTTCGCAGTGCCCCAACGAGCCCGCAGCAGACCTTTCCGTTGCTGCTGCTGCTGCTGCTGCTGCTGCTGCTGCTGTTGCTGCTGCTGCAGTTACGCCTACACCACCTTTCTGCACAAAGATTCAATTCCTCTACCTTATCTCCTGCTCTATTCTTATGACGGACAGACCCGCAAGAATCTTGAGGAAATACAGCAGCACGTGCACGGTGGTACAGTTGGTCTGTACACACTAACACCCTAAACCCTAAACCCTAAACCCTAAACTCCTAAACCCTAAACACTAAACCATACACACCAAATCACAAACCCCAAACTCTGAACCTCAAAACCTAAACACTAAACCCTAAAACCCAGCCCATAAACCCTAAACCCTAAACCCTAAACCCTAAACCCTAAACCCTAAACCCTAATTTATAAACCCTAGCGTACCCTGTCCACTATCGAAAATATCTCCTAATTTTGTTTTGTGTTCTAAGAGAGATTGAACAAGATGAGGTGTACATACAGCTGAGACCGTCAGCCGCTTTGGGCACATAGGATAGAGGTACAGTACATCCTGTACAATGCGCACTGGTTCAGCAGCAGCAGCACCAGCACCAGCAGCAGCAGCAGGAGCAGCTCCTGCTGCTGTTGATGATGATGCTGCTGCTGGTGCTGGTGCTGTCTCGCCTGCTGCTTCTGCCGTAGCGCTTGTTGCTGTCTTCAGTAGGTGTGTTGATGCTGCTGCTGGGGAGGTTGCGGCCGTCGCCGCTGCTGCTGTTGCTGCTGCTGCTGCTGCTGCTGCTACTGCTAGTGTTTGTTCTGCTGAGGCGCCCTCTCGAGCCGTAGGCAGCCACTGACTGCCTCGAGCCTGCAGCAGTAGCAGTAGCAGTAGCAGTAGCAGTAGCAGCAGCAGCAGCAGCAGCAGCAGCAGTAGCAGTAGCAGCAGCAGCAGTTGACGCAGATGTTCAAACACATATGGTTATAGACAGTATACAACCCTCCAATTTTGAGCAGAGCAGCAAAGGGTTTAGGGTTTAGGGTCTAGGGTCTAGGGTTTAGGGTTTGGGGTCGACTTGTGTTAGGCAAACCTGTTTTGCTGCGGTGACCATTAAGGCATCGTGTGAGGCGCTGCGTCTGCTGCTGTTGCTGCTGCTGTTGCTGCTGTTTCGCCTGCCACTGTGTTTGGTACCATTGTTGCTGCTGCTGTTGCTGTTGTTGCTGCTGCTGCTGTTGTTATTGCTGCTGCTGCACTCCAATGGTTGTACGTCTAAGAAGAGGCGGGCAGCAGGTGTATAGCAACGCCTTGCAGAGCTGCGTATCTGCTCCCGCCGCATATTCTGCTCTTGCTGCTGCTGCTGCTGTTGCTGCTGTTGCTGCTTCTTTTGTTGCTGTTGCTGCTGCTGTTGCTGCAGGCGTGCTGCAGCTGCTAAGTGCTCTTCAGAGTCTTGGCTGCTCGTGCTTGTTGTTGCATTCTCTGACGGACTCGCAGCAGCAGCGGGTGCTGCTGTGTCTGCAGGGACTGTCTCGTGTGCTGCTGCTTCTACTGCTGCTGCTGCTGCATGAGCAGCCATGCGGACAGCACCAAGTGCAGCAGCAGCAGCAGCAGCCTGAGAACCTACCCTTGTCTCTCTCCAATAGAAAAGAGAGGTTTGCCTTTCTTCCTCGCCATCAGCAGCAGATAAATTATAACAAAGTGTTTTTGCCATGAGCAGCTGCTGCTGCATAAATGCGTGCCTATCTGTTGTTGTTGTTGTTGCTGCTGCTGTTGCTGCTGAGGCAGCATCTCCTGCTGTTGTTGATACTGCAGCAGCAGGTACTGCTTTTGTTGCTGCTGTTGCTGCTGCTAGTTGTGCTGCTAACTCTGCTGCCCCTAGATATGTAGGCTGTGCTGCGACTTGAAGTGTTTCTTCTTTTGCTGCAGCAGCAGGAGATGCTGCTGTGTCTGCTGCTGCTGTTGCAGTATCTGTTGTTGTTGAGCTTGTTGCTGCCATAGCTGCTGCTTCACTTGCAGGTGCCCCTGTGCTGCTGACGTCAGCTTCGTGCGCCTGCCCATTCTGCTGTTGCTGCTGCTGCTGCTGGAGCTGCAGCAGCAGCTCCATCAATTTCGATGAATCGGTTACACAATGCTGCTGCTGTTGCTTCTGCTTCATCTGCTGCTGAAGCAATTCCTTACCTACAGAGAGCAAGGTATGATAGGAGGAAGAAAAGCTCGAGCCTCCACTTTCGCGCTGCTGCTGCTGCTGCGGCTGCTCCTGTTGTTGCTGCTCATATCCGTGCTGCTGCGTCCCCTGTGGATACTCCAACGATATTTGTCGCTGCTGGAAGCCTAAAGAGTCAATGACAGCCTCTTGGGCGTCCTTGAGTTCGCCTTGAACAGCAGGCATCGCGGCTGCAATTTCGGGTGTACATACAGCTGCTTGTTTTGGGCAGCAGCTACCTTCACAATAGACCTCCGAAGGTTGATTTCTTAATTGTATACTCTAGATCCTAAACCTTAAACCCTAAACCCTTAAACAGCTGTGGTACGCAGCAAGGTGGTTCAGGCAATATGCAGGTCTCACGGTTGAGACAAATCGGCAATTGCACGGCAAGCGGAAGTTGATAGCGCTTGAGAAAGAGTTTGTTGAGTAGATAAAAATTCTTTAAAACAGTTGAATCAGTCAAAAACCTAAACCCTAAACACTAAACCCCAAATTGTTCTCTGCCGCGCTGCCCACCACAGTGGCGAAGGTACTGGTTCTGTGGGTCGCTCAACGGTGTATGCGGCACGAGTGTTGGTTTTAATTAGTAAAATAAATTTAAACATCTTACGCGCATCAGAAAAAAAAAGAAAAAAGCACGAACTCAGAGCATCCACTGCAGAATCTTCGCGGCGGAACGAGCATAGACAGCGTTCCGTAGGCTGAGTCGGGGACAAGGCACGTGGTAAAGGGGGAAAAGGAGGAAAGAAGTTACAATTTCGATTTACATAAGTTGAAATAAGTTTTTTTATACTTAATTTCAGGATATTTCGTCGTCTTGAATCCTATTTATCTCCCGTACACCTGCAGAATATCCACGAGCACGTGACAGCTTCGGCGGGCGATTTCGCGGCCAGTCGACATACTTAGTGCAACAGTTGAATAGTTTCTACATAATATGTGTTATTTTGATTATTTATTTGAAATATAGCAGTAAAGAATAGTTTCTATAAGCTGTATATTGTTTTGCATATCTATTTGAAATCGGGCAGTAAGACGATGTCTTGTCGAGGATTCCACTGTCAACCCGCGGCGCGGTGGGGAGGAGTTATCGACGGCATATCTCGCTTGTACGCGTGTACACCGCGGAGACTAAACAATTATAACACAATGTAAACAATCGTTCGCATCAAAGTATAACTAAAACTTGGTTTTCCCGGGTACTTTGCGACCCTGGAAACATAGAGCCACTGCAGCTCGTCTCATAGCTTAGCTAGCGACAGCAGCAACAACAGCAGCAGCAATAGCAACAACAGCAGTAGGAACAGCACCAAAAGCAACTGCAACAGAGAATGCGATAACGATATCAGATGCAGCTATGAAAGGAGCTGCAACAGACCACAGTTCGGCACCGGCCGCCGTTGTGCCTAGTGTGAAATGCAGGGAGCCCACTCAATGATCTGGGGCACTCTTATCCCCTCGTGCCGTCTTCTCGTGCGCATGCTGACGCAGCAACTCCTTAATGTTACTGCAGCAGGTGCTACAGCTATCAGCTACTTTAAAATGCACTACGAGCCAACCTAAACCTCGTCTAGTCCGAAGTCGCTACTGCAATGCTGGAAATAGTGACAGCGATATAGGCGCATGAGAACTGCCTACAGTACGGCTGCACAAAGCAAAAGAGGGCTTAGTTAATGCAGGAAGTGGGGTTGAATTGCAGCATGGGTTCCAACAACGGTTGATGCAGCTCGTGACAGCCCCCCTGCTGTCCGCATAAGCAGCGCCAGGCCATTTCATCTGTTTGCTAAGGACGCCCTACGGCTGGAGCAGAGCAATCCAATTCATCCTACATTGACTTCATTGAAGCTCGCTATGGTCCTCAGCTGTGGCGGGAGGCTCACGTGATATAAAGAGGCGTCTAGCTCACGCCCGGCAGCTCGAATGAATCATCATTCTTCGACAACTTAGAACACGATTCATCTGCTCTGTTCGTCTAAAAGCACTTATGGATCGCCATCTGGCTACATGCGTCACGCTCCTGGTGCATGCAGCGAGCCAAGGATATCTGCATCCACTTGAATGAACCTGTCTGTGTCTTCAGTTAGCTCAACTTTCTGCCGCCGTTCTCCACATGTTTGAAGGACCACATCGATGTAGCCCAAAACATTCTCAGTTAGGCCATGTAAATCTTCACAAACCGGCATGTTCTGTTACTTTGGCTAGAACTCTTAAACCCTAGACTAGTAACAGGGGTTGAGTTGTAGTGGTACTTACACGACAAATCTTACTGGGAGCTATGTTTTCTCGGCATTTCTGCTTCTCTTTGTGCTTTCCTGCTGTGTATATCTGTGTGCTGCAGCTAGTGCCGGTTCAGCTGGCAACGCTACGCCATAGCTCTGCTCCTGATGCTGATGCTGGTGCTGATGCTGGTGCTGATGCTGGTGCTGCTGCTGCTGCTGCTCATGTAATGTTGCAGCTGCACTCGTCCAAAGCGCCTGCACGGGTGCACCATGACACTGCGGTTGAAGTGCGTTGCAGCCATTTCGAGCTCAAATTCCTTTGTTGTGCACTTGTTTAGTCTGGTATCTATTGAAGCCTCGCTGCTTCTTCACGTCCCTCTGTCCTTCGGCTACCTGCATCCACAGCAACCCACCATTAAATGAAGTAGATTTGAAAGTGCAGGCGCCGCCCAACCAAACAATGGAGAAAACACGGCAGCTGCCCAGACATCTGAACTAACACAAGGGCATCTTCCGCATGCTGCCCGTCAGGTGCATTTTAGAAAATTCTAGGTTCTAATGGTGTACTAACACCTCCCCAACGATGTACACCAAGCAAATGCTGGTGAAGCACAGCTTACAGTAGACTGCAACGGCGAGGTAGGCACTACGCCGACTTGTACCAGGCGATCTGCAATGAAGCTGTACAGGTTTTCATTCAAAGACCGCCTCCGCTGCAGCTCCCCCTCCCTAGCTGAAATGCAAGTTGTCCTGAAGGCGTCAAATGCTGACCGTGCAAAGAGCCTACTCCCATAGAGCAGGCCAGTGCATGCGCACAACACGACAAAACTCATCAACAGCAATCCCAATCTCGCCGAAAAAAATTCGTCATAAAGCTAAAATGAGAAACAAAGCTAAAATGACAAACACCAGAACGAGGCACCAGCACAAAGCAAAACATATTGGTCGCCTTTCCGGGCATGCCGGCACCGCAGAAACAAAATCCACGCATGAACACCAGCTGTGGCTGCATACCGAACTGGGGCCTGCACCGGTACCTAAGTCATTAGCTTCGAATAACAAGCCATAATTGCGTAGTTACTCTAGTTGTACGCCTAAAGAACACGGCTCTGTACTGCTCAAAGGGAGGGGATGCGTAATTGTGTTCCAGGGCTTGCTTGGTCGCAAAGTCAAGCATAAACACAGGGATGCGCATCCCGCAGTTCTCGTGCCAAATGAGCGATAGGAGAGAGGACTCGGAGGTGAGAGGTTTTATGACCAAAGAACCATCCACAAGAATCCTTTCCACACGCCGGGCTGGATCGGGAATTGTCTAGGCAATCAGACGAAAAAGCACATTCAAAATGCGCGTTGCAATGCACACGATAACAAGTTGACGCACAATTAATTAATTCTGATGACTGCTGGAAGGCGAGGCTTCTTGCGTTCAAGCCACATGCAAGATGCATTTAGTCTAATTTCAAGCAAAATGTCTCAAGCAGCCAGCGCTTCTTCAATATTACGAATGTTTCTGAAAGACAGACACTAAAGCCATCCACCAGCAGCAGCCTAGCCTCGGGCCGAAGCCGAGAAAGGAAGACCAGCGCCCTATCGAGGCTTCCACTACCCCATGCATGCACACAGGGCACGTACGTAGAAGTGCACGTAACTAAACTATGAGTGTCAATGATGCAGAACCACCACAGCTAGACACAGGGCCAAAGAGAAGGTAGCAAAGAAACAGGGCAAAAGATCCACGATACACCCCGGGACTGACCATTGTTTGCCTCGGCGTTTTGTATGCGTTGTCCAGTGTAATCATTTTGACAACAATTTGTGAATTCCGTTCGAAGTCGTCAACAGCGAACACCTCAAAACACGCATCCCTGCAAAACCCGAAGACCCCAATGATAAACCCGCAACCCTATTCCCATGCAAACGGTGGAACACACGATGACGATGCAGCAATGTGCAGATGCATGCTATGCCAGATCAATGCAGGAGGTGGCTTCATAATCGCAATTTGTAGTTAACTTCCACCTGTTGGCGAATGGCCAGGGAAAGTCGATGTGGAACTGCACCATTTGATCGACGCGTCCAAGACGTTCGTTCTCCACTTTACGTAGGCCGAGTCTGAGACACCTCAGCATCCAGTGATGCTGTACGGTATTGGGTATAGGGAATTGGGTATAGGTTTTACACTATGGTGCAAGCACCGACCATCACTGCCCTGCATGACGCGACGTCCGGCGGCCCTTGGGCCCGCCTTGAAAAAGCTATTGCACGGCAGCGAAACCACAACGAGCAGTAACAGACATCATGTTTTAAATCCAAGACGTCGGAGTCAAAGGCTCTGAACCATATGTCGTGGGTAGTCACTCTTAAACCCTCTAACCCTCAAATCAGGCCCTACTTGAACGGCTTAGTAAAATACGGCACCCAGTTGCTGAAGTGGTCCACTTCATTCAAAACGGACAGGATGCAAATTAGTGGAGCGGCTACGACGCCTTCAAGCCGGACAGATATCTTGTCGGGATTATCGCTGTAATTCCTCAGCTGGATGTTCAGGTTGGAACCATCGTTAACGACTTCTTTCCTAAAGGTAAAGCAGAATACTCTATGCCGCGTCCCCTCAAAAGACTAAGGGCAAGCCAACACTGAATAACAAACTTAAGAAGACTCAACTGAACGGACAGTCATTATGTAAGATGCTTCTAGCACAGCCAAACACACTTTCACGCAAATCGGTGTGGTTGGGTAAGCCCGCACAAGTAGATGTAAATATGTGCACTAGGGAATAACCCCACATCTGCATTCAAGAGTCAAGAGCATGGTATGCCCGTACAGCCACAGATACACCCAACCATACATGCATACATACAAACTAGAGCAAGTGTACACAAATGCCAGCACTAAAAATCAATCCGAAGCCCTTAGCATGACAAGCATCTAGTCATGAATGTTGTGTGTTGAGGATTAGGGTTTGCGGCTTCCCAGGGGCCTGGTTTCGCTGCTTGGAGGAGCGGATGTGTCGTTTGTCCCAGCACTTTAGAAAGTAAAGAGGGTTTTTCTGGTGAGTATCTCGTTTTCTGATTATATTTTTTGTCGATTAAATCTCTTAAGTCTTGCAGATGAGGCGAGTGGCCTCCCTGTAATTGTGCCCGCAGTTGTTGAATAAGCTCTGCCGTTTGAGGCGCTCCCATATCTAGCCTCTCCAGGCACTCTGGCTTGTCCAGGTCTTTGTAGACTTCTGCTACCATGTGACGTCTGAATGCAGTTTCCACGACTTCCGGGTCATTGTCTAGCCAGTCGTTCAGTACCGAAGCACCCACTAGGTCTTCCAGATTCGCGACTCCTGATAATTGGCTTGAACCAACTCCTTCCAAAGGCTCCTTCCCCTTAAATTGCTGCTTCAGCTGCTCGATCAACAAAAAGGCATCTAAGTGGCGCTCTAAATGGCGCAACTGGTTGTGGATTTCTTTCTCTACGACTAAAGCGGCCAGCGGACACCCTAGCAAATTTTGGGGCACCGTTGCCGAAGGGTTCTTCACATCTTCATTCCCCGTCATCTGCACTAAAGACCAACCTCCACGACTACAAGAACACCACTCGAAAGCAGCCGTCGACCACTGGATTTAGTTCCACTTGAACGGATTCCGTGGCCAAGTGAGTGCCCCGAGGCAGCGCAAATAAAGCGAAGGACATAAAACAAAATAATGAAATTCTGAAGGGAAGCTCTAAGTGGGGTATGCTTATATGCGAAGAAGCTGCAGTAACAAAGACAAAGAAGAAGACTGGTCGGCGTCTAAGGGAACTTGTGCAGTTCGACAAGCGGTGGCCCAGTGTCAGATGGAAAAGGCGTACTCAAATCTGCCACTGTATTTACAAAGATAATTAAAATTTTAGTGTGTGAATTTCACAATGCTTCCGGAAGAACCGCTTCTGCCCACCTTCGTAATAACACCCTTCGTGCCAGTGGTTTGCGTGCCGCGGTCGTCACACAGCCCCAGATTAATGAACTGGTATCACAATTCTCTTTACTATCAGTGTAAATTTGTTGAAGGTTCACACTAAAGGGGAAATGGAGACGGTCTCCACCCCTACTAAAGATGCTTTTTTATGGCTGAGTGCAGTGGTGGTCGCGCGAATGTGCAGGTTTCGACCAATCTGGCACTCATTTCTACGATGATGGCTGGTTCCACAACACCCCATTTTGGGACTTCTGCTTCAAACGAAAGTATGTAATGTCTTGGTGAGCACAACCAGAATTGAGGGACGTCAAAGTGGCCGAACGTGCGGGGCGCTAAGTGCGGTGGAGGATACTAACTGCTGCAATCAGACTACGTCTGTGAGAATATATCTTTATTCAAGGCATTGATATGACTTATTTGTGCGGGGCTGGTTCTCTGTGAAGCCTAGCGTTTGAGTCGTACCCGTCTGGTGAGGACCTGTGCCCGAATTGGAGTGCAGAAAAAAAACAGCTGGTACTGCCGATCGTTCGCGTCTGAATGGAATGTGACATCTCTGAGGGCAAGCTTTACAATACCATACAACTTGTTGAGTGCATCGACGCAATCCAGCCGCCCATGTGAAGTATAACCATCTCAGAGATGCATGGTGACCCACCGGTGCACACATGCTCTTGGATTCTCCTTTCAGCTGTGTAACGAGTTTTTGAAAGCGTGCTCATCAGTCTGTGTTTCTACAATATGCATGCCAGGATGCGAGGAGGTTCTGCACTGCTTCACTAATTGGAGTGAAGGAAGCTTGAATCTCGCGGTGCACTACGTGAATAATAAGTGGACTTGTGAAGTATACTTTCCACACTAAGGAGGATAAACTCTGCACAGATCATGAGTCACCTTATAACAGACGTGGATAATCGGCTATGGACGAGAGGCGCACTTCATGAGAAGTCTTGGCGCTTGACTGGCTGAGCAGGCAAGGTATCATTGCATGAGTTGAAGACCCTACCGGACACTCATAATGCTATCTTGAGTTACACCCTCTTCCCACGGGCCTCAATGCTTAGGCAAGCACACTACGAAAACCTTTCCATTGAAAATGTCCAATTCAGACTTTTTCACTAACATGCTGCATACACACACACGCACACACCTTCAGAGTTGTGCACGTGTACGGTCCAGTGCAAGCTGGCTGTACCCGTACAGACAGCAACGACCCTCCTACGTGGGGTTCACAGAACCGAAGTTGGAGGATACGATTCATAACCGTCCATAGGAACATCACATTGAGGCCTTTAGAAAAAGCAGTTATTAATATCTAAAGAATAGTTGGAAAATGGGGTTCATATTTCGTCTAAGAATGTAACTTGTTGGTCTTGACTCTTCATGTAGGCAAGCACGAGGAAGTCTGCATACTGACGATGTGTATAGTCCTTCAGCAAGCCCTTCTTGAAAGACAATGAATAGAGCATCCACAGTGGTGCTAAAGCGGAGGTGTCTTTTAAGTCCTGCGGTCCATTTGTAGCTGCCAACAGATTAAACAGGCAGTCGGAGTCCTTGACTTAAAATTAAAGGCAAGACGAGCAATGCCCCTTTACACATTTCAAATAAACCCACTATATGCATCGGGTACGCCCACGCTCAGCAGATTCAAATTCTCTTTAGCGCCTCTACAATTGAAGCAGAGACACTTAGATCCACAGGCAACTTGAGGGTTGCGTTGTGGTGATGCCCAGAACACCTTGGGAGGGCGGTGGAGGCCGTTAGGCAAGCTACCATGGAATCCACACTGTGTTGCATTACGTTGCAAACACAATCAACCCAAATGGCTTCTAGATCATGGTAGAATACGCGGTGCGTTTTGGAGTCTACTGGGTTGGTGGCTGTCATTTCTACTCATTCGAAGCATACGGGAACACGAAGAAGTCAAGCGTGTCGCACACACGCCGGCGGGGACCCTCCGGCATCACGAGACATGCGCCTTTGGAGTCACCACTGCACTGTGAAAACTAGCCGCACCACCTTGGATGTACAATTAACCAAAATGACCCTTTCTTTCAAAGGCCTCTTAACCTGTGTGTTGCTACGACTAGCGTTGACTGCGCAGCTCTCAGCCTTTGCTGATTGCATGAGGAGCATTGAATCCTCCATGGCAGCAGTTAAAACATTGCATTACTATGATTGTTCAGCCTTCGACAATACTTGCCTAAACCAACCCCATACCATCCGGGAGAAGGCGCGATGTATCGGCGGATCCCCAAACAGTTGCTTCTTGATACCAACGACGACTTCCGGTGAAGGTCGATCACCTCTCTGGTAAATGCGAAGAGCAGCACAAACACTTTCCACAAATTGCTTCACTTCTGGGGTTGCTTTGGCGTCACCCTTCCCCATAAGCACGGGTGGTGCAGCCAGCTTGCTCATCACACCAGGCCACCAGTGTTCCTTCCCTGCTGCCTTCCCCAGTATCTCGCAGGCACAGAACAATGCATCAACAAGAAGGAACCGGTTTGCTAGTGGTTCGACTAGTTCATAATACGAGGGTTTCGTCAGAATCGTGATCCTTGTGGAAGCTGCATCCCTCAAGAGATCCCAAGTCGTAAACCCGAGGGCGTCGACTTCACTCTGAGAAAGCGTATCCTTGCAGATGATTCTCTGAAATTCCAAAAACTTCTGTGCCAGCTGCCGAGGGAAAACTGAAGAGTTCACGGCGTGCGTCCAGTCAAAGTAATGTACCAACACTCCTGATTCAACGGCTGGCAGTCGGTAGAAAGGATGCTTTAAGAGCTTTTCTCGAATGGCAGGGTCCACCTGGGTAAGAAGCGCACGAGCAAACAATAGACGCAAAAGCATACTTAGCTGGGTACGCTACGTGGACGCAAAACGCACTCCTGGTGGACACCAACTGCTTACCTGGGTATCCTCTTCCGAAGGACCCGGTTGGGCCACGTTGTCACCCTGTCGGCGGGCACTTGCCCTCGCTATTAGGTACCTTCTAAGAACGCTCTGAGTGGATGATGCACTGGAAGCAGGCGGTGTGTAGTTTCGCTGGTCTCCCTGTGCAGGGGGCCGGTGCAGGTCTTGGTGTTGCGTGGAGTGTTCCTGATTCGGGATTTTGCTGGGTTTCCCATGTACAACTGCCGCCAGTTCCTGTGCCTGCATACGCCCACCTTCCAACTGTGGCAAGGTACTGCTCGCAGGATACTGCAATGAACTGCTGGCAAGCGTGGCGGGTGCTTCAGCGGCCGGCTCCTTCTTAGCATGATGAATATCACTTGTGCCAAGGGTAGCATGGGCACCTTCTGTCGTTTTCCCAAAGTGCACTTGGGGTGACGAACCGTTAGCTGTACCTTGGACCTGAGAAGCACCAGGAAAGCTCACTGGTTGTGGCCTCGCCACACTGCCATTCACCCCATTGTTCCCGGTATTGAGGAGTGCCTGAAGTCCAAGGGCAGCCAGTCCTCCTGGGGAAATGCTCTGCCGAGTGCTCAGAAGAAAATCTATGTCCTCAACTGGATCAATCGCCCACTCAGCGATCCTCGCCCTCTTCATGAGTTGCTCATCTGTTCCCGTAACATCCCCTGAACCTTCCGAAAGCGTATTAGCGGTCTGTCCTAGTGCTAGGGGCGGTTGGGTCTTGGCTGTGTCTTGTTGTCGAGAGGTGCTAACCCCGGTGTCCTCCTGCGTCTTTTTCCTTTTCCTTTTTCCACTTAATGTTCTAGTCTGCACCTCCGCTGACTCTGGCAAAGCTGAGGGTTCGCCAGGAGCTTTGAAATGCTCTGCAGATCCAGTTGTTTCACCAATGATGTGGCAAAGCTCGGAATTAACCTTCCCTTCCAGGTGTCCATCGGATTCTTCATCTCCATCAGTTTCTTCTGCCAGTTTCCTATTTGCCACCATCGCCCCGTTCCCACTGCTGCCCTTCAGCCGGCAAAAGTAAATTCCAAATACAAAAACTACCATCAGTGCATAAGACAACCACGCCAAATGCTTGCGCTGACGGCAGAGCCTCCGCTTGCTGCTGTGCGAGTTGGGCCATTGGGCAGCGGACGGGAAATAGGCACGTTCAAAGGGTGGTACCGAAGATATGGAAGAAACCTTTGCATAAGACACCGACTGTTCTGGTTGCTGTGATCCAAAGTGGGTGTAGCTTGACATGGGGACTGAAAAAAAAGGTATTTTTCCCTGTTCAACTGGACAGACGATCGGAGTGGTGATTCGGATCTGCTTTGATCGGGCCCAACAGAACCTCTACTGTGCCAATGTTGAAAATAACAAGGTAAAGGAAAGCACTAATCCACCAGGGGTGCTAATTTCACCGAAGAGATGCTCTGTGGAGCGGTTCCAGTTAAGGAAGCCTCTGGACCATGGTGTGACTTCCGTTATCGTGATTGTTCAAGAAGACCCCTAGGTGAATACATAATACGTGGGAAAATATGCTAATTATCCTGCAAAGGCTCTAAAAGCAGCTCACAATGCTGAGTAAAGCGCAGGCAGACTGATCGTCTGATGCCAACGTTCCAACGCGCCCCGTGGCTTCGCTCCGCTCAACTTAGACGAGGCCGAGGTTTGAGAGTCATTATTGAAGGACACTTGTAAATATTGGAATTTACAATTCATATTTTAGTACATTCTGTATCGAGGCAGGTCTATCGACTGCTCGTCGCTCTCTGTTTCGCTGATGGGCACGAACCACCAGAGCGTTCCTCAGATGCGGCGGAAGAACCACTTGCAGGTCACTTTACTTTAGCTCGATTCCTCCACAAGAGAAGTCCTGACTTTGAATTTTCTTTTGCTAGGTGTTAGCTGTTCCCATCCAATTCTAATGGGAGTGTTCTGCTTCGAAATGGCTCAGTCGATGTGACACTCTCCGCATAGCAGTTTCCCGTTCCCGAAAGAGGCAGGCTCATCGTTTGTGTGCCTGTTAGCACTTTGGGAGAAATGATAATGCTTAAAGACTACATATTGTGGAATTAATGTAAAATGGAGCCTTGGTTTTACTGCTTTTGCTGTTAACACGCAGTGCCAGCCGCTATAATTGCTACTGCTGCTAGCAGAGCGACTCCTCACCCAAACAACCGCACGACCCTATGCTGGTATGCTTAGGAATCCTCGAGGATAGCAGTTGCTTTGGAAGTATTATATTGAATGGCTTATTCGACGGGGTCCCACAACTGTTCCCAGCTGCAGGCTGAGGACTGGTTACGAGGGGTGACATCGTAAGGCCCATAGGAACAACCATCAGCTGAGGATCTGAATCCACAGCTGTTCTGCCTGAGGTATTCTCATTCGCGAATGGGATTTTTGGAGGGAAGACGGAATGCACGGAAGGGAAGGGGCTCCAAAGTACTACCGTTGAGCTACCGTTGGTACGTTCATCTGAAAATTTGAAAGCTGGGCTTTGGAGCTGACAGCCGCTGCTTCGAGGAAAAGGAGTTTAAAAGGGGATGTGATGGAGCATGAACCCCTACGAGACGTCCCAATATAGAGCCAACCGTCTTCACGAGTCATGAAACTTCTTTGCTGATACCTAGTGAGCTACTGTCTGTGTTATTAGCCTGTTAATGTATCATGCACCTTAAGATGTGTGCGCACGCGAATGGCCTTCTCCTCCTAGCTTCCTCGTCCCGTTGTCTGCTACGATATCACGGTGGACTAGCCCGACGTAAAAAACCTGTATCATGGGAACGCGACCCAGCTGTCAACCAACCTGGCATTTTACGCTGCCAGTACTGCAATTTCGCTTGACCTGCCTACTGTCGGGGACGCGCTGCCGCAGAGAGTACTCTAATGAAGATAATAAAAGACAGCACATTATCGGCGTAGCTTTAGATATGGAATGCACCTCAGAAACCCTGCCAAGTTGCATTAGCAACTCATGTCCATCAATATGAACTTGGGTAAGCAAGGAGGCAATTAGAGGTGGAATTGTGTGTGCTGCTGTCTGTGCTTTTTTCCCCATCGCAGCGATGAAAAGCTGCGTGGGGGCCCAGTTTTCGCCTGATCAGTTTGTTTGTTCGATTAGCAACCCTCTTCAAAGTCTTTCTTTCCCAACTTCCGCTTTATTCTTCGCTATGCACTCAATCCCGAGATACATGGTTGGTTTATTGCAAAATGAGCGCATGCGCCTCTCGATACATCCTCAGGGCTCCCGGAGAGCCAATTTCACTCGCTGCTCTTCTTCACCAATTTCTACGTTTTTGGGCGGGGCTGCCATTCACAGCCACAGCATCCATTGTTACAATAACGAACTGCCTTCTTTGCTTCTCAGCTGGGGAAGTAGCAGTGACATTTTCTCTCTTTTCGTTGGTGTGCCAGTATTCCATCATATTGGCGTTGTCAACTCTTCTATCTCTCAGTTCCCTCGCCGGTGTCTACCCAGTTACTAACAGCATTCCGCTGCGGAAAAGTGCCGTAATGAATTATTGATCGAGAAGTTCCGACACCTTTGGAATCCTGATTTCCAGTGGCTGATATCCTTCCGTAAAGATCACTATCAATCGAGTCATTTGCTTAAGCTTCCCCAACCCCATTACGCTCCAGTGTACTTTGCCGCGTTGCTAGAGGATTGAGGGGGATGAGCGAGTAAGCCTGCATTTCATCGCATATCGGATAGTTTAAGAAGTCGGGCTGTCCTCAGGAGAAATAGTACCCTTGCTTAGATGGAGCGTTCATTGTCTTGCTTGTCCTCCTAACATGTGCAGCTCTTCTGATGCTTGCTACAGACGAAAATAAGGCTACAAATGCACAAGAAGAGTCTTTTCTGCCTGCACATCAAGGCAACCTTCATATTTGGGCAGTTTCCAAAGGCGAAGGAGCCCTGCATAAACTGTTTTTTTATAAAAAGGATTTTTCTTTCGACAACGGGTTGTTCAACCGCTGACAGCTTCGATATTGTAGGGCAAAACCCAATCTTGGAGTGGAATTCGCTGTGCTACCAGATGTAACGTCAGTCGTCAGTGTTATGCAAGGCGTATAGTTGCAGTGTGACATCCCTACGCAGTCTCCAGGCATCCTTAGTGCAGAGGCCCAGGCGACTGGAACTGCGGAAGAGGAGCTATCCTGCCATGAGTACCAAGGTACCCTGCTCCAACAAATGATGCACGACAGCCCCCCATATAAGCAGAGCCAAAACTTCTTAGCCGTCTGCAGGAACACTGTAGACAACTGCTAAAGACTTGATGTTGCATTCCAGTTGCCTCCTAAAGGCCGACAAAGGGCTCATGCCCCAACTTCAGACAGGCTTGCCACCTTCCGAAAGAGCATGCTACGCCACAGCGGAGACCATGCGACAACATCACACACCAGCTGTGACGTGCTCTCCATTACCACATATATGTGTGCATTTAACCAGAAACTGCATCTAAAATGGAGAATAGTGAATGAAGAGAGTCAAATCTTGTCGGGAAGGGGGAAGCTGGGGAATGAGCTAACCGCTGCTCGCGCGGTGGTTGCCGACAAGTTGTAGACTGTGAGCAATTCTTCGCTTCACAAACGTCGCTTTTTACTTCCACTAAAGCTCTACCAAGCAGATAATTAAATATGACACCTAAAACTAAAGACCGTGTACTTCCTACGGATGATTCGGTGTTTCGACGATGTAGAAGATCTGCACAGATTCGGCGAGGCGATGTCTCTGGCTCAGCCCTTAATTCGGGCGGGGTCCTAAGGTTCACAGAATAAGGTGCTCTCCTCATAAGCAGTTTTGTGAAATATAGCCGGATAAAAATGGATGAATAGCTTCTGGTTTGCCTATTAGAGAGTTAACTTTGTGGCTTGCTGTTTAATGGCAGAACGCCACTAGTGTTTCCTCTTGCTCGTCCTCTGACAGAGCGATAGCGCTCTGGAGACGGGGAGTATTCGGTGTATCAACCTCCACAGCTTCTTTTTTTGAGTTGCTGTTTTTGTTGTTAGCTTGTGACTCATTGAGTCCCGGCGAGACTACTTTGGTTACGCCGTAAACCCGCGCTACTCAGCCACCCCTGCTCTGTTGTCATTTTTCACCGGCACCCGAAGAGCCTTCTCCAAGAGGTTCACCAACTATTCGGGCTATTTATTACAGTGTAGCTACAGCCTCAATATCTGGATCCGAGAGGGAGGTTGCAGTACCGCCAAAATCACTTGGGGCAGCAACAGTGCTGGAAGTGCTTGGGCCACAGCCGCAGCGGCACCAAGAAAGGCAACAACAGCGGAACAAGAAGCAGCAGAAACATCAGAAGCAATAAGTGTGACCGCAACAGCAGGTTTGACTAGAGCGGACCCTCAGGATGAGCAGTGTTATCCTCCCGCCCCTGTCTCCTCTCTCCCTCAACGCACCTTCTGCAGGAAGCGACGAGTATGAGGTACTGCGAGACTGTCTCAAGTGCCTCCGTGCTGCGAGTTCAATCGCTTTGCCCTTTTAGATCCTCAGGTCAGTACTTGACCCCATCCGGAGAACTCCTAGCTGCAGAGGGTGTAGGCGCAGCAGCATTCGAAAGAGTTTGAGCAGTTGCAGCACCAGCAGCAACTGCAGGCACCACCTGCAGCTACTCCAGCCGACCTGGCCACACTCCAGCAGCCAATGGCTGCTTCAGTTTTACCCTCCTACTAATCACGGAGGGCACATGACTGTTCGGAACCGTGGGTCTCTTCGGAGGACCCCTGAGGACTCAGGCTGTCGGCAAGAACACAGAGCCTCCACTAGCACCTCCGGTTCCACAAGAAACAGAGAATCCCCTCAGATGCATTGTGAGGCGTTTTATAAAGCCGCTGATGGGGGCCAAATGCATGAGGCCTTTACAGTCCCCTGCGAAGCGGCACGAGCAGCATCGGCATCGCTTCCTCCAGCAAAAGGGCCTGACGGCTACAAACTTCCTGCGCAAGGGACAGCACTAACACAGCCAAAAAACATAACAACCATTAATCCTTCTGGATCTGGGGAATTGCTCGCAGGCCCTCTCAGGGAGTGCTGCAAGGGGGACCTCAAACAACGTCTAGGAGAGCAAGCGCAGCAAGATCAACAACAGCAGCAGGAACATCCGCAGAAGCAAATGCAGAGGAAGCAGCAGCAAGAGATGCTTCTCCCTCACGCCGCCATGACTTTGGGGGAACATTCTATAGAGGACTTCTGGCCCCCAAACCTGGTGCGGCGGCCCTCTGTTGAGATGTTGCAGCACCTCAGAGTTGCAGCCGAGCGGCATCAGGATCCCATTGCCGCATTTATTCCACCTACGTTGAATCCTGCGACACCAGCTAAAGCAGTTGCAGAGCTTAAAACGGTGCCAGCGGAAGTAGCGAGGGCTGAGGAGGTAGTTGAGACGGCCACTTCGACTATCACTTCACACAATATCAGCACCAAGACGATCGACGGTGTGGTGGACAGCAAGGCCAACAACAGCGAAAGTTGGATTGGAAGACCACACAAATTACCCATGAACTCGGATATCCCTTATGCCTTAGCGGGAGTCTCCCAACCCCGAGGGGATTGCTCGTTTGGCCCATCTGATGTGGTTTCCACTGGAAAACCAGTTATGACAGCATCATCATCCACAGCAACAATAGCTGGGGCAGCCCCACGTGCGGAAGTGTGTACAACAGTGAACATCAACATAGCCAAGAAGGCTGGAGCACAGACTAGCCTAGTAGACACTGTCTGCGAATCTTTGGCCAAACGTAGAGTAAACGGGAGGAGCAACTGCAACGACACTGGTAACATGCAAAAGCTGCGCTGCGATATTCTTCCTTGTGGGGAGCCATCATCAGAGCTCAAGAACGCCAGAGGGCCACACAGGCAACTATGCAAATCATCCACACTCGATGGGCTCGTTCAATCCAATCGAGGCCTTTATGGTAGTATTTATCTAGGCGAACAGCGAGCGCATGAAGACAAGCAGCCGCAGCATCCGTTGCAACAACAACCGCAAACACAAGCCGGCGTGCTGCAAAATGAGAAGAAACATCAGTCTCAGCAGAGGCCACATGAGCAGACAAAAATGCCAAGGCCTCGGGAATTCGTTCGACAGCTCGCGTTGGGTTTACTAACGGGGCACAGGGGTGGCGGGAAAAACCGGCGAGCATGGCTCAGCCGCTGCTATAGTAGCAGCAGCAGAATAAGCCGAACCCAGCAACAAGAACGGCAACGAATACAACAAAGGCCGCAGGACGACGGAGGCGACTGGGAGGCCTGCTGTCTGCTGCAGCCAGCAGATGAGAAAAACGACGGACTTCCGGCTCACAACCGCAGCAACAGCAGTACTGTACCGAGGTTTGGGGGCTGTCGGAGGGCATCCAACAGGCTACAACGGATGGCCTTCTCCTTTGGCTGCTTTGGAGAGGCATCACAGCGCAGGACAGGGAGCCAGCGAGACCCTTTCGGATCATTAACCCCCGCTCAATACAGAGCCTGGCGAAAACAGCAGCAAGCCTATGCAGGTGACTCCGAATTTAAATGCGTAGCTGTTGCGGTCTACGGCCTATGACGTTTTGCTTGAAACATGAACAGGCAGAAACAAATAAAAGGTTATACATGTATTCTCCCAAATCGGGTTTTCTTGGTCCCGCTTTGGTGGCTTCCTGTGGGCGGTTACGCCCTTACACGCTGCATGAATGCTTGTCTACGATGTAGGCTTGATTAGGTTCCGGTTGTTGTTTTCCTTTTCAGATGACGGATCGCTTTTCCCCCGAGGTCTTGCCAACCTAAAGAATACTTGCTTCCTCAATGCTGCTCTTCAGGCCTTAGCGGGCATTCCTTCATTTGTAGCGTCTCTCCAAGCTGGCCTTCCCCCCGAGCCTGGGGTTAGGGAAGTGCGGTGGCATGGGACTTACAGGGCTTTCATTGCTCACCATGACGAAAATAATGAGGCAACGAGTGGCATTGCGGGTGCGGCATGCAGTAGCACCACGGCAACCCCGGACAGCGAAGATACAAGAGGCCAACGGCTGCAGCAACTTCGGCACGTCGAGCACCAGTCAGAGCAGCAGATGGAGCTGCTGAAGAAGCAGCAATTACGGCGTCAGGAGCTTTTGCTGCGGCTGCGCCTGCAGCAAGAGAGGAGGGAGAAACACCAGCCTGAATGTCTGGGCTCTCTTGACGAGAACCAAAGGAGGCTGCTTCTTAGGGAATTCTTCACGCTACTCTGCAGATTGACGTGCGCTGGTATTTAAGGGTGTAGAAATCCAGGAACCGGAGATTTGCATTTGCTCTGAGGGGTTAGCTCTAAAGGGTTCGGCTTCTAATGTGAATGCGAGTTCAGTTGCTGCCCGAGCATTCGGTCGTATGGGAGCGCAGAGGAAACGTCTCGCGAGGAGTTCGCCGCTCAGAGGCCACGGGAGTCTAACTCAGCTGCCACATGCAGACCAGAGCCGCAGCAGCAATGGCAGCAGAGGAAACAGCAGCACACGCCTGCTGTGAAATACGACACTATTCGGCCCGAAAGGCTCAGGAGGGCCCTTGTAGCGCCCCTTGCGGGACTTCTTTTGAATGACTGCAACATGCAGCAACAACAGGACTGTCACGAGTTCTTAAGGGGCCTCATCGACTTAATTCACGAAATACTTAAAACTTGTAGATGGGTGAGATGCGGCCGTTGTGGGTAGTACTGTTAGTTTTTGCCTCTGCTTGATGCTGTGACAGAAATGCACTGGAAGGCGCCTGTGGAGCAGGGGCCATTTCTGCCTTTGCGTGATGTCAAGACATAAATACTAAAGATGAACCTATCGTGGTTCATTTATTTTATTTTGCATGCTGCAGGAGAGAGAGGAGGCAGCAGCAGCACAGCAGCTGCTGCAATTACAGGCAACTTCCCCGATGGCTGATCTGGAGCCCGTTTTTCTTACCTCATTTGGCTCTCTCCGCTTTCCGTTGACTCTCGACGAAGATAAACAAACGCAACACCAAAAGAGTCCTCCTAAGGTGCAGCTAAGTAAGGAGCAGCGGCAGGTGTTTTCCTCAATATCGCACTATGCTCGTGCTCCTGATTTTGTTCGTGGGACCCTTGCATATGCGACAGCTGACTGGCTACAAAGCCTTGCCAGGCTTTGAATCACAGCCTGCATTATGCGGCGCTTTCCCCTTTGCATGATTTCATAGGATACATTTAAAATGCGTATATGTTTGTATTTTCTTTGCACTCTAGGTGAGAACAGGGAGAGCAGCGAACCTGGCAAGGCAGTAGGATGCGACGGCGGGGATGTAGAACGTGCGGAAAAGAAGTGGAGGGAGTATATAAGAGACCAAGCTTCCCCTATGGCAGATTTCTTTGCTGGACAGGTGAGAGTTGATTGAACCGACCTAAATTTAAGGCTTCGAGGTTACCGTTCAAGGAAAACCAGACGTTCCCGGGTACTCAATAGGCTGTTATGGAAAGTATTGTAGTGCTGGATAGTTCTCCTCATCTTGTGCCTATTTAGGTAGTTGTGATACGTCGGGAAGAGTGGTTATTTTGCCTTGCTTGCAGCTGTGCAGCGAGATCCAGTGTGCGGGATGCCGCCAATCCTTGTTCATATATGAGCCTGCGTGGGATTTGTCTTTACCGCTTCCCGTGGATGGCAAAACAGTATCTTTAAGCAATTTACTGGAAGGCTTCTTTGGCTCCGAGGAGTTGGACTTCAGCTGTAGCAGTTGCCACAGCCCTGCTTGCAAGGCCTACAGGACAATTCGCTACACACACACCCCTAAAGTGCTGCTGCTGCAAATAAAGCGGTTTTCTGCCTCCGGGCAAAAACGGCGAACCCGAGTTGAATACCCTCTTGAGGAACTTGTCATTAAGACGAAGAGGTAATCAAACACAGCACCGAAGAAAATGTAGTCTTCTCAGATTTGGTGGAGAGCCCTCCGAAACTGTTGGTTTTATAGTACCTATTTCTCTGTCATTTTTGTTACAAACGACTTCTCTGGTGCAGTGGTAGGTCTTGTGTGTTCGTGTGCCATGCAGCGAATCTGCCACATTTCGCTTGATTGCCGTGATCGAGCACAATGGGAACAGTTGCCAGTCTGGCCACTACGTGGCTTATGTGCGACGAAGGAGATTTGTGATCCCGGTAGCAATCGCCCCTGCAACTACGGATACAGCTTCAGGACGAAATGAGACTCCCAGAAACTCTGCGTGCTCGCCATCAGAATTCCTTAGGCGCATCGGAATTTTAAAGGGCTTAACGAGCTGTTCGGCCCACTCTCTGCGGCACCCTCATAAATCTTCCACCGCACCTCCTTCTGGCCCATCCCCAAGGCAGCCTCCGCTCAAGTCACCTTTCAGGCCACCTAGACCAGCGATCTCTTTTGATGGGATGGCCGACGATGGTACAGAGGTGAGGCACAATCTTGTTACGCAGGCAACTGTACCCACTAGGATAGTCTTTAACATGCAAAGTGCAACATGCCTATAAAAAGCTTACGTTTCTGCCTTGCATATATGCGCTTGTCATTCTCGGGGTGCTTGCGTTGGCAGCTCCAGACTGCTGTGTTCTGAGTGTTCATGCAACAGCCTTGTTCTGTTTCATCAAGTATGTGGGTGAATTGGTCGCATTCCCCCTCTGCTGTGCATGGTGCCAAAGCAGAAGCCAACGTTTAGGCAAGACAAGCTGCAATCCCTGTTGCTTTTACCGTGTCCTGCAGTGGTTTCGATTCGACGACGGTTTGGTGCTGCCCGTTTCAGAGGCAGACGTTTTCTCTGCAGAGGCATACTGCCTTTTTTACAGCAGAACAAACAATACAGAAAGACAATGCATTTCACGTCCCAAACAGGAAAGCCCGGTCTGGAGCAAGTTCGAGCGAAGTTGGGCTTAATGAAGACGACTAGTCGCTTCTTCTGAGGACTTATCCTTGCCATATCCTCCAAGTACAGGAAGAAAGGAGCCAAACTCAGGAACACAACAGTCGTTCCGTTGACTCGTAGAGGACTCCACTACTCAGACAGGCCAGCCCCCGGGCAGATCTTTCTCCTCCCGTTGATTGAACTGTTTGCACTACCACGTGAATGTAACAGCTTGGAGTCACAATCTGATTTACCGTGCCCACCGGAAGCGGAGCGTAAAATGATAGTGTTCCGCTCGGCTCTATCACCTGCGGTTCAACCCCATACTGTATGCTCAACCGTGCAATTTGCACTGGGGCCAACCCTGTCGTGCTCTAAACTAGGGCATATTAAATTATTTCCTTTGTTCTGAAGTTTGTGCATATGAAGTCGCTCTCTTTTGATGGGCAACAGTGCCACATGAGGTGCCAAGCACCCAGGGGTAGATGCCTTCTTACCATCTGTTGGAAATATTATTTCCTCTCGCACGCGAGAACGGCTGCACCCATCCGCACTTCGCTGGAGCACCCACACACTAGAAATTTGCATTCCTGAGTAAGCCACTTTGCAGGGCTTATAATCAAGACTATCACTGTTCACGCCAACTCGCACGGCGCAGACTCCCACTGCGGGAATGGCGGCAAAAGATGCTCGGATGAGAGCCAATGCGCTAACATACTGATTAAGAAGAGTGTTTGCTCGGCTTATTGCTCCGATGTGGTGCTGTACGTACGCAGATGTATCGAGGCTTCTACTTCTGCAGTACGCACCGTGCTGCTCTTACGGGAAGCCAACGGCTTCCTAACGGAAAAGGCTACCTTCCGTATTTCTCTCATGCATAAGCTTTAAATAATTGGATTGCGAGTTTCGCTGTATCTGGTTATCTCGTACAATGCCAGAAACGTGCACTAGCCGAGCAGTTTGTGTAAATCTTTGGCGATGCAGCTCATTCAGGTCGGAAGCCAATCCCTCCTAGCACTCATTTTCTACCCAACACAAATATCTTGTGGTTTATTTATTGCAAATGTCTTGCGGATTAACTAGCCCTTCTAAAGAGGGCAAATCGCTCACATTGTTGGAACCACCTTCTCCAGCCACTCACCACTAGTGTGTATAGTGCACTTCCCAACTTCAACTGCTGCATGCGGATGGAAAGGCACTTTAAATAAAGGTGCTTAAGAGATTGTTATTTCTAGGTATGCGCCTTAAATCCCGTATACCCCCTTGCTCACTCACTCCACCGACTTGGGTTTGGGGGATTCGGGCGGCTTGATCGACTTGATTCCCGTACAGTGGACATTCGGCTCGATGGTGGATCAGGTGCAGTTATCACCCGTCCGTTACGTAACTGCATGGCGATTATTTCCCTGAAGCTTGCTCTCAGAGGTCCCCAGGTCAGTCGAATGGAGTTGTTTGTGTGAAATAAGTGTGTTGTTTTTCTTTTAATGTCCCGGAACAGCTCCCAAATGCAATGAACAGCTGGCCTACACTGTTACTACGTTAGATTGCCAAGCTATTCTGAATAGGTGCTCGCACTTTAACCAGATACCAAATCTACGATTCTCGCTGTAACCACTAATAGTCACAATTAACAACCAAACATACGATCGAGTTCCTATTATTGTTCAGAAAGAAAACCAGAATAATAAAACTGAGGTCCGACCCTTGCCGAGGGCCAGGGCCAGGGCCAGAGCCACTGTAGTGAGCAGCCGTCCAGTTGTGCCTACTTAGTTGTGCCTACTTATCATCTCGTCCTGCCGTACTTCCTAAGTATTACCTCGAAGTACCCAAATCCTCAGAAGTTTATGTTGCACGTAAAAATTCATGTTAGACTCACATAAGCGATTTCATACATTAAAAGAACTGTGTTCCGCATTGACCCCGGTCGTGGCTGGGAGTCAGCGCCCAACCTATACGATGACGGGGGGATATCAACAGTGACGACACAGACGGCAGCCTGAGCTGTAACTGCCATACACAAAAGTCTTATGTATAGACATAACACTCCTATATAGTAATAATTCTATTTTTTTCAATTAGATCTCTAAAGGGGCCTACCTGCTACCCAAGTAGTGACTAGGTATAACGCTACACTGTCGATAGTGGCAGCTGGCGGGGTAATCATACTAACCTATGGCTCCATCTACGGTACCCGATTCTTAGAGCATTTAACACGATTAATTCCCTTTCTTAGTTGCTAATGTCATACTCCTTCTCTTTATGGTCAAAGAGCGACTAGAGATCACATAAGAGCCACATTGTAGTGCCTGCGCACTAGAGTTTGCATGCAGGGTTCGGTATGGTCCGGCCCCACAGCCTGGACTGTGGAGAGCAAAGCAACGAAGGAGCCGTTAGAACGGATAGTTTTGTTAGTTTTGAATATGCTTTTAATGCACTAACTGACATTGTTATGGAGGAGATTATGAGTGGACCCGCAGTGGCGAGCAATGCTGTTGTCTTTTCACCGATACAGGGGCTGTCGAGCGCTGGGGCTAGTCTCTGACCTCATTAAGAGCTACTTAATTACTCGAAAAACTTGGCATGTTGCAGTTCTTCCAGATGGCGACTGAGCGATGCCGTAGCACATCTAACGGGGTTACTCTTCCGTTGACCTTATCGTTTCTGCAAGGATTGCATGGAGGCAAATGAAACATATGGATCTGTATATAATTCTTTAACGAGCGCCATCCTTAGCGCTTCGGTTTGATCGTCGTGCCCCAGAAACTGTGACTCCAGGTTGGACAATGGCTGATATATCGCCGAGTGTTTCGGCAGCAGTAACTGCCACAGTTACGGCTGAACCACCCTCATCAGCACATAGTCCTGTTCGGGAACCCCTTTCCCCCACGGCTGGAGCTGCAGAGTATGAAACATCTGATGAAGAAACCCTGCGCAGGTGGTTCCCTGCCACTTCTCCAGATTATAAAACCCGGTGTGGGGACGTCAAACAACTCGTAAAGGAGGATCTAGAGGACCCACACAGACGAAAACATCTGGAGTCATTTAGACAGAGCATGCTGGAGTGGGAGGCTTATGACCCTAACGTGAGAAATGAAATGGAGGAGGAGACGGCAAATGCCTTTCTCGCGGACTTGTTGAAGATTAGGCCTAGAACGAACAAGGAGTTCAACTCCGCAACGAAAATTCTTAGGAAGAAGTACAAGGTTGCCCCTGCGAAGTCGCAGCTTGTGGCTGCGTACAAGCGATTGCTCGCTGCAGAGTCGAACTCTCACATGACCCAGGACACCAACCCTGTGGGGCCACATGGTACGGAGTCGCTGGACAGTCAAAACTGCCCCTACGGGCTGCGCAATCCAATGTTGGAAAGCTTAATGCGGCGGAAAGCAGTGCGAACAAATAGTGGGGTTCTTGTCGTCACGGTTTTGACTGCTCCCGGTCGTTTCTCCTGTCCGCATGATTGCCACTACTGCCCGAACGAACCGGGACAGCCGCGTTCTTATCTGTCGACTGAGCCGGCTGTGCTGCGAGCCAACCAAAACGGGTGGAGCCCTCTCAAACAGTTTCATGACAGGGCTAGCACGCTTAAGCGGAATGGCCATGCTGTTGACAAGATAGAAGTCCTCGTGCTGGGAGGCACATGGAGCGGGTAAGGGCGGTTTTATACCACAGCTGCTATGTCCATGCACTGTTAGGATTCCTCCACTATCGGGATACAATGTAGAAGAGTGCTGAATGCCCCAGTATGCCTTCAGGTATCCCTCGGACTATCAAGAAGAATTCATCCGAGACATTTACTACGCTGCAAACGTCTTCGGACTGCCTGAGCCTATCCGCGAACCGTGAGCTGTTTTTAGGCATGTGCCAACGAATACTCTGTATTTAAACGGTAGTTTGCTTTGGGTGTACGTTACTTTGATATAAACAATAGAAGGAAAGGAGGGATAGCATTCACGGTTCCGCGCTGTTTGTACTGTTTGTGTTTTGGATGTGTTTATGCAGCCTCTCTTTAGAAGAGGAACAGAATCTCAATGAAATTGCAAGCTGTCGCATTGTGGGCTTAACGTTGGTGCGACTTTCGTACTATGCGGCTCTGCCAAATTCCCGTAGCTTCTGCAGAAACTATTTTACGGTGACATTAGTGTGCTGTGCCGCTTCTTGGGGATTACGATTTGGGTGGTGCGCGCGCGGTTGGCGTTGATGCAGGAGACACGACCTGACTTCATTACGCGTTACGAATTGCGCCGGCTGCGTCGCTTCGGATGCACACGAGTGCAGATTGGCGTGCAGCACGTTGATGACAGTGTGCTGCAGTACATTAACCGGGGATGCACTCGCCACGACGCAATAAAAGCCATACGCATGCTTAAGGATTCAGGCTTTAAGGTTAGCTTGTGCACAACTTGTTCTGGAGTGCAGAAGATTGCGTTTTCGTTATGCTTGAAGATAAAAGTTTGCATACGAAGTCTTATGGCCGTCAGCAGGTATGCACTTATCGCAGGTTGACGTGCACCTCATGCCGGATCTACCGTCCAGCAGTCCAGATGCAGACCGTCAAATGTTCTACTACGTCCTCTCCTCCCCCGATCTCCAAGCCGACCAGTGGAAGATTTACCCATGTGAAGTGACACCTTTTTCAACAATAGAGGTGAGGAGCCGCTGCCTCAGGATTTACCTGGAGACACTATTCAGCCTCCTGGGATGGTTTCCCTTTGTAGCTCAGATGAGCCACCTACTCTGTACAGAATCAAATATGACGCATATGCCAAAAGTGCTCTTAAATAGCCTTCTGAGTGCTGCAGCTTGTTCTAGTAGGCACTAGGTATTCGGACATGGGACACTGTCTACTCTGATGATCTGTGGGTGGTGTCAGTTTGCTTTTCTGTTGAATTCAGCAATGGTATAAGGAAGGCAAGTTTATTCCCTACGCAGACACTGATGGGGACGCCCTGTTGACCCTAATTTGCTCTGTCAAAGCAGCGGTTCATCCGTGGGTGCGGCTGAATCGGGTAGTGCGCGATATCCCAAACCAATCCATCATTGGAGGTAACAGCGTCACAAACCTCCGGTGGGTCGAAGCAAACGCAGTTATGTTTTTGACGTGTATGTGAAGTGTACGTATGTTCATACTCCTGTCAACTGTGTATTATGTATCGTGCAACTCGGTGTGTAGGTGCATCTGCATGCACACGAATGTTTATTAGCAAGGGCATAGTAGTATTAGTTGGAACACGGCAACTAGGTCGTCATTTTCAGCAGCTTGATGACAGTTGATGTGTGCTTGGCTCAGACAGGAACTGTCGAGAGAGCTGGAGCGCCGGCAACTGCGCTGCAAGTGCATCCGCTGTCGGGAAGTGAAGGATATGCAGTTCGATTTGGGGTACGCTGCTCCCCCCTGTCTACTTCCGACCTCATGCATCTGCAGATGGGCGGTGTGAACGGATTGTGGCATCCTCACGATTCCGTGTCGTAATTATTATTAAAGATACTTGCAGAGCATTGCACGCGGTGCCCTGCGTTTCCTGTGGTTACCGTAGGGTAGCGGAGTTGTGCGTTCGTCGCTACGAAACAAACGGGGGAGTGGAGTTCTTTTTGTCGTTTGAAACGCCAGACAGGAAAACAATATTTGGGTTTCTTCGGCTAAGACTGCGTGCTCGGAGGTCTCCGCGGGACTGCCCATTTAGCGTGTTGAATGGGGCGGCGCTGTTGCGGGAGCTGCACGTGTACGGTACGTTCCTGGTAATGCATCTCCTAGCGCTTGTGCCACAGTAGCACACCCCAACCTTCTTCGGACGGGGGGAGTACATTGCCTCTGCTTTGTCGGTTGCCTGCGCTGCTTTTGCAGTGCAAGCTACTGTCAGGCAGCAATTGCTCTTGGGCAACTTTTCGTTTGCGGTACGCATGCAGGACGTCTAGTGCCGCACGGCGAAGCAAAAACCAGCGGTGACTTGCGACCCCAACACGCTGGATTTGGGAGGCGGTTAATACAGGCAGCAGAAATCGTTGCCATGGCCAACGGTACGAGTGTACACTCTCTGTACTTTCTAATGTGCATATGTGGAAGTCGATTCACTTTTGCATGCGACCGTACACATGGGCGCATACGCGAATCCGTTACATGCGCGCAAGAACTAAGTGGTGCCTTAGACACGCTGACATGTAGACGTTCTGGACACAAGCCTGTGGTAGTACGACGGGTTCTCAATGTCATTCGATGGCTTGAATAGTGTTGCTGGTTCTACATTATCGCACGGCATCACATCGAAGAGCCTCCTTAAGACAATTGGCAGTTTTAGAACCACACACGCTGTGTGTTTTACGAAGCACGAAACACAATGTCTGCTTTCTTTGCACCTAGACTATTTGTTTGCTCTGGCTCTCGGGTTGATGTTGCGAACCAGGGTACTTCCGTATGGCGGTCATCGCGGGGATCGGCACGAGGGAGTATTACCGATCAAGCGGATATGAGCTTGAGGATTCGTACATGGTGAAGGATTTGACTGTTTCTGGTCTTCATGCTGGGCGTCCTGATTTGCTGGCTGATCAGCCGAAGCATCTGCTAATTGAGTACCAAGATTTGCAAAAGGCAGCTTCACAACTATTGCTCCCGTTGCCACCAAAGGCGCCTCTCAGCAAACGCAGGAACGCGCAAGGGAACAGAAGAGGAGGCAAAGGGAAGGGGAGAATCGGGGCACAAGATACAGAGGCGGACGGAACTATCGTAGCATCAATTGAGGAAACGAGGGAAAAGGCGAGATTTTTCCTCAGTGAATATACAGTAAACGTGGAGTCTATTGACGTCCCTAAACTTTTGCAGAGGCTACAGAATAGTGAAAATACACAACAAAACCCAGTAGGGCCGGCCTCAGCATTTACTGACAGAGATACTTTTGCTGAGCACTGCAGCATGTACGCCTCCCTACAGAAGTCCCTGAACCCATCAACGAGCACCAGATCTGCACTTACCTCACTGCAGCTTCGTATGGCTTCGTGGCTGTTGGGTGATAAAAGGAATGCTTCTGGAGCAGGCTTTTCACTAGTTGCCGCCGCAGGTGCAACTGTCGCCGTTGTTGGCGTGGCAACCGGGCTGTTATGGTTTGCTGCTCGTAGACGGCAGTAAAGATTGCATATATTTGAAAATGTTTCCGTTAGTACGGCGTTGGAGGTGACATAACCCGCAATGGGCCCGTCGTACTTCCGCTTATCTTGGGCGGGTGCAATCGTTACAATGTGCAAGCAAAATATGCTTGCTCAGCTTTGAGTGGCCATACAGAAGCTGTCAGCAACTGCCACTCCATCCTCATAAGCATTTGGTGCAAGCAGCAACTGTCCCCCCAGCGACTTAAGTCGCCGCAGCTGCCTGTAGTTTGTCTTTAGCACCGCATAAGCGCCGTCCACAGCTGTAGACGAGTGGGCATGGTGGTTCTATTGCATTTTTTCATGTTGCCCAAGGGGTCTTCTGTACAGCTACAGGGGACCTGAACACTTTTTGCCTAGCTATCCTGCACAATGCGCTCGCGTCGCATCCAGTGCCCATCATATTCCCGCATCCTGGAGTCGGTATAGACGCCACATGTGGAAAACGACTCCATGGGGCGAAATGTATACAAAAGAACGGCATATTTGGGGCCGTGGCCAAACAACGATGGAAATCAGTTCAACCGGATAAGACGCAAGTCACGCAGGAGGAGAATATTAACAGCTCTATCATCTATGCTGCACTCGCATGACTCTTAAGTGCACAGCGAAGCAGGCCCCGGTATACAAATTGTTACAGACGACCAGAATGGTCGGATGAAGTAACCGAAGATCGGCCACCCTGTTCGTTGAGAAATATTATGGCGAAATATACTGGTCTACGCAGCCCTCTTCTCGTCCTTTGGTTCTTCTTTGGCTTTTGGGCGCATAGACGGGAAGAGGATAACCTCTTTGATTGTGATTTGGTCAGAAAGAAACATAGTTAGTCTATCGATTCCAATGCCCCAACCAGAAGTCGGAGGCAACCCGTATTCTAAGGCCATCAAGAAATTCTCGTCAATGGGGCACGCTTCGTCATCTCCAGCTTCCTTCGCCTATGTATTAATGCAAACAGACGAACACAGGTGAATACAGCAAGCAATGGAAGTCCTGCGATATAGACCCAGCCCCCCTTGTCCTGTACAGAGAAGCTCCCAGTTCTGCTCACCTTTAGCTGCTCCATGAAGCACTCGCGTTGCTTCTTCGGGTCGTTAAGTTCAGTATATGCATTGCACAGTTCCTTGCCCATCACGAAAAGCTCGAACCGCTCTGTCAGCTCAGGTTTCGATCTGTGCCACTTGGCCAGGGGCGACATGACCTGCGGGTGTTCAATTATGAACGTCGGCCTGGTGGTGCATTGGCTCTCTACAAAGTGTGCGCCAACTGCATCCAGTGCCTTCGCCGGAGTCAACGGGTTCGGCGGCTGGATATTGTGTTTTTCCATCAAGCTTTTAAGGCAACTCAAGCACTCATCACCATCCAGAGGCCTCGGAAGAGTTACATTTGCTTGCTTCTCAATTTCCTCAACAAGCGAAAGGCGCCGGTAAGGCGGCGTGAAGTCAAGCTCTACAACAGGTCCGTCAGGGCCCTCCGGATGAAACGGAATCTTGTAGTTGCCGTGTATTGTCTTCACCATTTCTGAAATCCATACTCAGCAATACTTCAGTGCATTGTGTTGCGACCCTAAAGAGGCAACGTTGACGAATGCAAGCGGAACTAAGGATGCGATAAGTCAATGCAGGGCTGGGGTCACTTGATACCTGAAAGCATATCCTCCGTGAGTTTCATCGTATCATTGTAGTCCGCATAGGCCCAGTAGAACTCGCACGCTGTGAACTCAGGATTGTGCGTCATGTCGATCCCTTCGTTTCGGAAATTTTTCCCAATCTCAAATACCTTGTCCATCCCACCAACGGTCAGCATTTTGAGGTAAAGCTCAGGAGCAACCCGCATGTAGAGGTCTGTGTTCAAGTCATTGTGATGTGTCACGAACGGCTTGGCATTTGCACCGCCAAATATCGGATGCATCATTGGCGTTTCAACTTCAATGAAGCCACGGTTCTCCAAGAAGTCCCGTATAAAGCGCGTTATCTTCGACCTGAAGTACATGCGAAACACCGCGGAATCACATTGGCATGGCACACAGTAGTGGGAAAGTGATAACAGACACAGACAGTATTTCTACAACGCATTATATTGCAAAGGCAGTATTTATATTTTCACGATGCAGCACCTAATCATGAAGACACGGCGCGGCTCATCGTTGACTATGAGGTCGATATATCGATGGCGATAACGCGTATCCAGGTCCTTGAGCCCGTTTCTTTCAGGCAGCATGTGCAAGCATGGTGTGAGCAGCTTCATTTCACGCGGGAAAATGGACAACTCTCCGCGCTTGGATTTTCCTGGGTACCCGCGGATTCCTGAATCATATAAAGTTTTTCACAGCACCACACCTTTACAGCCTTCCCATCATGGAAACATGCATCTTTTTCAGTTGCGTTCATGTTTCCAAAGAGCCACTGTTGTTCCTCACCAACGATATCTCCCCTGCGGAAAGCATTGTGGATTTCCAGAAAGTCTCCTGTTGAAGGATCGTGATCAGCCAAATTCGCCATCACCTGCAGACGGTAGCCGTCCCCACGCACGTCGTAGAAGCGCAGCTTCTGTCCACTTGCAGCCACTCTGGTCAACCGACCTGCAGGAAAAAATGGTCGAAACCTTCCTTACTCCTGGCCGCTCCATCCAAGAGATCATTGCAAGAGATGCAAGTCATCTAACGAAAGCAGCTTGAGAAGGCGCACCTGCTATGCAAACCTCTTCTTCCGGGAGATGAGCTCCATCGGCCAATCCTCCGTACTTCTCTTGAAATTCTTGGAGAGTCAGAGTGACCTAAAGCATGGTACAGTTGGCATGAACCAGCCACGCATGCTCCTTAACAATCGCATAAGTCCTCAAGCACTTCCGTGGAACTGCCTTCTAAGGAAATTATTGAACGGTTTTATTATGGAGGCACGCACGCCTCACGCATCACCCAACACACACCCTGGTGACCAAAATTCATCTCAAGGACAGATTATAATGCATACGTTGAATTTGTGTGGATATGCGAGATTTTGCTTGCGCAGCCCATCCACGAATTTGCAGCGGTTCTCGTAAAAGACACGCGGGTCGACCTCTTCGTGATCCTTTGACTGGGCAGTGGCCGTCTTCGCCCCAGCGTTTTCTTGCAATTGCTCCTTTTGGTGCTTCTTCTCCTCCACCTGTTGTGCCTTCCGCAGGCGCCGGCGTTCGCTGCAACACATGACAGTGGACAAAATAAACGGCACCGCGCATTCGCCTTTGCTGGTCAGAAGTACAGATTTCTCGCTGCCTTGCGTTGCTAAATTAGTAGACCCTTCACTAAGAAACATCTTAAGTCCCACTTGGCGGAGAGCTTCTTTTCCTCCCCCTCAGGAGGGGATCCGTTGGCTGGAGTTGTGCTCATTGCAGCTGTACTCAAGAATGCTGGAAGGTCCAGCAGTGCACCGCGGAGGCAGTGGAAACGAACACTAAACTTCGTGAACAAACTGTTTGAATGAGGCCTAGGGGTGAACCCTATAACGGAGTGCGCTGTTTGTCTGAGAAATTCGCCGTACACGGGGTGTTTCAAAGAGAGGGGCACCACCGCGCAGACCCCACTGAAGAGAGACGAACGAGCAAGCAAATGGATAGCCCGATAGACAACTGCAAGCATCTAGACACGCCTAGGAACAGGCAAATATTATGTAATGCTCCTAACGAGAACAATTGTCTCCAAGCCCCCAGGTCAATGCGTCGAGCAGAAGCCTTGTGGGGCTGCCTGGATGTGATGCCAACGAGGCATACCTGTTCTGTATCTTCTCGCCCACAGCAATGTCTCACCAACTGTGTCACATATTGCATTCTGTCAAAATAAACATGACATGAGGTATAACATTCTTGGAAAGTAAGTGCTTATCATCGCTAGTCATGAGAGCGTGCAAGCCACCGGGGCTGCTCCAGTAGTGTTCCGCCTTATCAATTTGATTGTTGGTTAGCATGCTAGAGCGAATGAGTGGAATTTTAACTACATGTGAATATTATTTTTAGTGCATACTGTGCATGTTTAATTACAACTAAGACACTATGAATTGGAGGATGGAGTGTGTACGAGTGGATAACAACAGCTGTTTCTAATTTGTTAACTGGCTTAACGTGGACGGACCTGCGCCAGCTGCTGTACTGTTGCTTAGCGCCGAAGTTTCTCCAAACTGACTCTCCGAAATAAAGCCTAAGGCTTTTCCGATGGTGAATTCGATACGGTGAAATGAACTTCAGGTGTGTCTAACCCGATTGACGTTCATTCTCCTGTAATTTGCTTGAGAACTCCAGCATCAACTTTGTGCACTTAAACTATTCCCCCAATGCTGAGTGAATCGAATCTTCCGAAAATGCGGTCTTTTCAGGAGCCTCACGACCCAACCCGTGCACTTCTCAGTTTTACTCACTGTGTGTGCACTGCCTAGGAGTCTACGTTTTCCTTTTTGGTGTTGGAACGACTTCTTCTAAATGTAAAGGATAAAACAGCTGCGGGAACAGCTGATGGGTGAGCCCTCTCCTCGCCTCCTGGCACATACACCTCATTGGTGTCTCTCAGGCGGTAGCATGTGCGCTCTGCACTGTAAAACCTACGCCTTGCTAAGGGCCATGCCAGGGTGAAACAGCTCTACGTAAGAATACCGTATTATGGTAACGCGACCCAGTTGTCAACTAACGAGGTATTTTACTTCTCGAGTACTGCAATTTCGCTTGTCTTGCCTACCGTAGGGGATGTGTTTGCAGCAGACACTACTCCAATGAAGAGACTCTAAGACACAATCATCTCAGCGTACCTCCAGATATCAAATGCACTTCAAAACTTCTGCCAAGTAGCGTTAGCAACTCGTACTTTCCGGGGTGGGGTTGGAACTCTCAGTCACAACATCCCTTGCATCAATACTGAAGCCGCTTCCCTTCTGCTCAACTGGGAAAGTAGGAATAGTGCTTTTTTCCCTCTTTGTTGGTGTGTCAGTGCTAAACGAGATCTGCGTTGCCAACCCTTTGCTCTGTCAGTTCAGTCAGTTACTAATAGCTCTCCTTCGAGGAAGAGGGCTGTAGTGAATTATTGATAAAGAGATTCCGAATCCACCATTGAAATCCCGTCCACCAGTGCCGTATATCTCTCGATACAGAACACTATCGATAGAGTCCTTGGCTTAAGCTTCCTCAGCCCCATTGTACACCATTCTACCAGGTTCCGGTGATGGGGGATAATGGGTGTGGTGAACGAGTAAACCTGCATTTCATCGGTTATCAGAGTGTTTGGATAGTCGGGGTGAACTTTTGGAACAGTACCCTTGCTTATGTACAGCAACAATTGCCGTGCGTCACCATTTAATAGCAAGGCCCCGAGAGTCACTGTAGTTCTTTTGGTGCTCTCTAGTGGCAACAATATGGATATATTGAAGCAGTTTACCCCTGAACGACCCTTGCAGCGCGCTCGCATTCATATCTGAAAGGGCGGCGAAGGCGAATGCATTCTTCACGAATCACAGTCGCTGTAGGAGCCTTTTACTCCACGTGGAGAGCGAAGAGTGACTTAGTTGAACTTGGCGAGGGTGCCAGCTCCTTGCTACAACGATCATTCTCAACTCAAAATGCAGAACTGTCCAACACACAAACACAAAAATCCCCCTCTTACTGTACACACAAACACAGCAGACACTTGTTGAGAGCTTCCTCTTGCGAATTGTTTGTTCTCTCGAGCTGAGAAAGTCCTTATGCTGACACTGCCAACAGACTGGCCAACACTGCACATCTAAGCTAAATTGCCTCATCCTTTTCGGCCTTTGCAGATGTTTGAGCAACTGTGTCTAGACAACCTGGCAACTGTGGATGTTCAGTCACTTTTACGGGTCTCTTTAGCAAGTTCACTCCACTGCAGCTTGCGACAGTGGTTCGATAATCCAGGCCTCGCGTAACAGGGCAGGGCTCCTTTGGAGAGGAGATGGTGTGCCATGGGGTAAGGGAACTTCCTATGCAGGCAGAAACAAGCCCGCATGTCTGTATGCGCAATCACCGTAGACATCTGTTAACACTTAGGGCGCAGCCTCCACCGAAGTGGCAAGACTCTTCAGTTTTACACAGACGAAAAAGCAGTACGAGTCCCTTGAAAGCAACTGACCTACACTGCAATCCTCAAGAGACGTGCACACAGATGTTCTCGGGGCTGGTGAGGATAAGAGGCGTCAGGTGCATGTTCCGTGTTCGAGACACGGTGAGGCAAAACCATGCGCAGGCATACCCCAGATCCCTTCTTAGGAAATTATTGACCCACTAGACAAGATATTAAGAACGTAGATGGCAGTTGCTCTACACCATTCAAGCACCTAGCTTCAACGAGCATCTGACAGACCTCGCAAGACATTGCATGCACGCAAATAATCCCTGGACTAGTGCAGACTCTGAGGACCTTTGTCTAGGATTTTCAACACACTATAAATGGTGAATCGCTTTTTCCTAGGGCGGTGGGGGTTCTTTATACAAACAGACTTGAACTTCTCAGCAAGCGCTGTGGCGCCCCGGCGCCACAGGCTCACAAAGCCCCACACACTTGCGTCTGTGCCTTGCGAGCACTGGCCCCAAGCAAACGCTTTTGACGGACTCAGTAGCTTTTTCTTTAAATCATTGTTTCCTCTGCCGCTTGTCTGATCTTTTCGGAGTTCTGGACAGACCTACGGCATTTCGTGACACTTGACGAACCCCATAGTCGGCATAGTGGGGTTCCCTGCTTGGAAGCTTGTGTGTAACTTTGCTATTGATGCAGAAGTTCCTAGCGGTTAGCGCCTTGTTCGTGGCTTTGCCTTCATTACGTCTATCTTGCGCCTCTTCTGTACTTACACATTGCGCGCCCACAACCCGTTCGTCTGCGGGTTTGTCGTTCCTCAGCTCTGCGAAGGTGTGGGCGTCTGAAACGAATCAGCTCAGCCATCCGTGGGGCTACTGTTGTCAGTCTTTTACGCAGTTCCGGTGCAAGCGTGGCAATCGTTTGCTTCTTTTAAGCGAAGACAGGGGGCGTCGCATTCACTTGGGCACCTCGACTCAGCAACGCGAAGCGAAAATGGCAGCGCCCCAGTCAAACCTCAGCAATGGAGTTCTGCAAATGGAGCAGCTGCAGGAGATGGTGGAGCGCGCGCGACAGAACGGGTGGCCGTCTGCAGATGTGCGGGAGTTGTACATTGCTTTCTTTGAGCATGTGAAGCACAAGAGATACCCTTCATCCCCGGTGGTTCCCCATGGGGACAATACCCTGCTGTTCATCAACGCTGGTACGATAGTGGTTCGCCTTTGCATTTTTTGGCTGCTCCTGGTGCCGCAAAGCCACAACCATTTGCAGCGTTTGGTTGTGTAGAGAAGTTGTTGTGCCACCGGTCGTTCCTGTACCACATACACGTAAGCAATGGTAAAGGCACTTTCGCACTGACGTGGACATGCATGCCGCCATATGAATGCGCACACGCAGCTGTTCTTCTGAGTTGTCCTTTTGTTACTCGCGCCGGTTTCATGCCCTTGTGTCGTAGTTGGGCACGTAGCTGGTGTTTTTCCGAGTTTCCCTGAAGGAGTGTTTTAGACTAAAGCGTCCTCTCGTGTATTTTTTGCACGAGCCGATGTCTGTTCTGTCCCTGTCAGTTCGTATACTGTCCCTCTGTCGTATGAATGACAGGGTAGGGTTAAGGGCGCACATGCGTATTTGTCTTTGAGATCTCCTTATCTTCCTTTGCAGGCATGAACCAATTCAAGCCGATCTTCTTGGGACAGGTGGACAAGAACTCCCCACTCGGTGAGAGGTAGAGATAAGGCCATACACTGTATGTGCAGGACCTAAATTATCACCGTGGTTTCACCACTGTGCAGGTGCACATGCCATTGCGCGTGATCATGATTACCTGTCTATGTCGCTTTTGATTCTGTGGACTTCTGTTTTTTCTCCCTAAACTGCTGCTTCGTTGCTTGCGGAGAGAGCCACGCATACGCTGATTTCGCATGTGCTGTTTGTTTTTGTTGACGGCTGGTTTGTTTCTGACGGTAAGATAGTGGCCGTGCTAGTTGTAGGCTGGACGGTGGGTCAGATGAAATTATTTTTCGTTTTGCTTGCAGGGAGGTTGCGCCGTGTGGTGGACACTCAAAAGTGCATCAGGGCAGGAGGAAAGCACAACGACCTGGAAGACGTGGGCAAGGACGAGTACCACCATACGTTCTTTGAGATGCTCGGCAACTGGAGCTTTGGCGATTATTTTAAGGAGGAGGCCATCGATTGGGCATGGCAGCTCCTCACCGAGGTGTACAAACTTCCTAAAGACAGGTGAGCTAGGCACGTCAGCGTTTGAGTCGATGTATTGGCCAGCACTGCACACCCTGACCTCCGAGCGGGAGGCATTTCGCGCGCGGAGACAGGAAAGCAGGTAGAGGGGCTTCGAAGGGAACCAGTAGCAGGGGGCAGATTTTCCTCCACGCCCCACGGAACCACCAGACAGCTGCATTGCTTTTGGACGTATCTTGCTGGCGCATCAAGATATATTTGCAGTATCTTGGATTCAGATAGTGCCTGTCTATGCACTTGGACGGCCCCCTTGGTGCCTCGTAGAGTCGTGATATCTGCGTTTGCTTGCGCCCACCCCGCGCTGCTCCGCTGCACCGTCACAGTCTCTTTAATTCTTCGGTGTGGGGGTTCGCTGTGTACTGTAGACTTTACGCGACGTACTTTGGGGGCGACTCAAAGTTCCCCAACTGTCCTCCGGATTTGGAGGCGAAGCAATTTTGGCTAAAATATCTCCCCGAGGATCGGTGAGTTGCGTAATAGGATCGGGAGTTGTTGGGGAGGTTTTTTTGCTGAAGGCTCCACAATGTTTGGCGCACATGTGCTGACTTAAAGGCTTATTGCCTTGTGTGTGTTGCCGCGTTTGGTGGTGTGCATCACCTCTTGCAGCTTTACTTTGCCGTTTAATATGTGCCGGACTTGTTAACTCAGTGTTCTGCCATTCGGAGCGAAAGAAAACTTCTGGGAAATGGCGGACGTAGGCCCATGTGGGCCATGCACCGAAATTCACTTCGATAGAATCGGTGAGCCATAAGTCACGGGACCTGTAGTGCCACCCGGCCCACTGAAAGCGCATACTAGTGAACTACAGCATGTGAAACGTTGAACGGATCTCGTTTTTGTATGTGAATACCAGGAGGCCGGAACGCTGCGAGTCTTGTAAATATGGACGACCCCTCCGTGCTGGAGATATGGAACTTGGTGTTCATGCAGTTTAACAGGGAAAACGCTCAAACGCTGACTCCTCTTCCAGCCCCATGCGTTGATACAGGTCCGTTAACTGCGTGTGTTACTATTATTTTGAGTTATTTGCTTTACCCGTGCCTGTGGACTTGCTCAATTATCCAGCGTTGTATTATGTGTGGAGAGCGCAGGTATGGGCTTGGAGCGTCTCGTCTCGGTTTTGCAGAACAAGAAGTCCAACTATGACACGGACCTCTTCCAACCTATTTTTGAGCGCATCCATTCTTTCAACACTAAACTTCCAAAGTATCAGGGAAAGGTGGGTGGTTTCTCAATTTTCTCCACAGTCTTCATCTGTATAACATTCGCCCCACATCGCATGCGAGTCGTGGCGGACCATTATTCACCTCAGGTTCAGCCACATCTGCACATTTAGTCCTTCGTGTGTTGTTATTTTGTATCAGTGGCGTGAGGTACGAGTATACATGATCTTTGATAACCTCTCCGTCCACTGGGAACGTTGCGAGAGTGCACATGTGCTCTTCTGCTCCCACCGGAATGATGCGTGTGCTTTTGGAGGAAGCGAATAGTATTCTTATGTGTATGCGCTGCCTCCCCACAAGTGCCGTTAGCAATGGCAAGCGAAGGCATACACCTGACCGATTGTGGGCGTGCGGTTTCCTGGCTGTTTTCGTCCTTAAGGTTGGCGAGGAGGACAAGAACAAGATTGACACTGCCTACCGGGTACTGGCTGACCATATACGCTGTCTCACGGTAGCTATCACTGACGGAGCCGAGCCCTCTAACGAAGGGAGAGGCTATGTTTTGAGAAGAATCCTCAGGCGGGCGGTCAGGTTTTCTAAACAGACTCTTCAGTTGCCCGGTGAGACCGCACATGGGACAAATTAAGTCCTTTCACGTACTAGTACCTCACTTGCAGTTGGCAGCCAGTTTGTTTTTCATTGCCTCCCTCTCCTGATTTCACTTGCTTCCCAGCCCAGTGTCAACCGCATAGCTCCCTTCACCACTTGAATCTCAGTGTGTCTGTCTGTGTCTCGGTCACTCTTGCCATTCGGTGAGGTACCACTAAGTTTGGCTCTTGTGGGTGGCGCAGACGGGAGCTTCCCTAAGCTGGCCTCCTGCGTTTGCTCCTCTCTTGGCTCAGTGTTCCCCGAGCTGCTAAGGTCTCAGGAGCGCGTTCAATCCGTGCTGCTTAAAGAAGAACAACAATTTACGAAAACTCTTGACAAGGCAGGTCTCCAGCCCCAAGCATTAAGCTGTAGAGTGGCAAGCGCATTGAGGGGAATGCCTTTGTGGTCTCCATTGTGTCAAGTAGCATTCGTTGCACATGCAAAAGCTACCTCTAGGGCACTTCCCGCTTGCGCTGCAGTTGCCGCCGCCTTGCTGCCGGCGGTAACGTCTTATTTGCCTCGCTGCTTTTGAGTTCATCACCTTTATTGTGGAGTGTAGCAGCTGTGAACACGGTTGCCAGATATTTTGTGTGCTACGGGCGCTTGCTTGCGAAGGGGGTGGATCGTTTCAAGAAGGTCGTGGCATCCCTTGCCCCACGTGGCATGTTTCCCGGCTCAGAGGCGTTTACGCTGTACACAACTTATGGATTCCCTCTTGACCTAACACAACTTATGGCGGAAGAAGAGGGCCGAGAGGTAGACGTGGAAGAATTCAACAAGAAGTCAGTAAACACAGGAAAGCGAAGGGGGACAGTGCTGAATCTGCACATAAAATCATTCAAGGCTGTGGTCCCATGTTGCACCTGTATTTTGACGCGATACTGAACTGCCTGCTTATGGACGGCTTATCCGCAAATGAAGGGCCACTGAGGGAGGCAGCAAGGGTGTTGGACTTTACTCGTTTTAGGTGTCTGCCGTGATGGGTGTTTTCTTGCTTGTACACACCAAAACATCATTTGTCTGCCCCGTGATACTCTCCGCTTTTAGGTTCGACACTCCGCTATGTGCTTAGGCTTTGCTGTAGCAGCCGCTTTCCGGCCGCTGCGCCTTTGCCTTGCGATGCAGATTCGAGGAACATCGTGCTGCCTCCGAAAACGTATCATTCAAGGCGAGTGGGGGGGAATCTGTTTGCCGCCTGCCTCCAGACCAGCATCACAAGCTTGAGCAACAGGGACTCCCTCCAACTGATGATTCGTACAAGTACCATTGGAACATCGCGCAACGACCATACAACCCAGTATGTAGCATCACACGTAGTACCCCATCCTTGCGTTTATATGTATGGCTGTATAGGAACAATACATGCAGAAACGGGAAGCACCCAGCAATATATGTGCATGCAAAAACACCTACCACGACTCAGCCACTGCGGTTCCAGCTACCACCTTGATTATATATGCGTTTAAATACGATAACTTTCTGTCGGCCGACTGCCGCTAGTGCTGAGAATTATCCGGTGTACTACCTCAGAAGTGCAAGGATATAGTGTATGTGCGAAGTGCTTCAACATCGGACTGCTTCATTCGGGCCTACTGTGTTGTGCGCTGCCGCAGGAGTCCGAAACAACGCCGCCGTGCACCTGCAAGCTCCAAGCCATTTGGAACGGAACGAACTTCATTGTAAGTGTTAATTTAGGGTTTCAGAGTATTTGTGGAAGCATGCTCCCGCACTTCACTCGTTATTGTGCAATGGGTAGTATTCTTGTAAGTGCCCTCCTGTGCTCTCTTGTTTGCTCAGGACACTGTTTCTGAGGACGGTACTGTCATAGCTCTAGTGCTAGATAAAACTCCTTTCTACGCGGAGCAGGGTGGACAGTTGGGAGACGAGGGCTTCCTCGAAATTAATGGGCATCATTTCAGAGTCAGAGATACGCAGAAGAGTGGCAGCTACGTGCTTCATGTCGGAACTTTGTTCGGGGGAGCCTCCCTCAAGGTAACTCTGAAATTTTAATCTGGACGACTGGAGCTTGGGTCTGCAAATGATCATTTGCTTTCACCTCAATATTAGAACTTCTTGTGTCACAACGCGGTGAAATTGTTGTTTCGCAGGTTGGGGATTTGCTTACACCTCGAGTGAACTACGCGCGTCGTCTTGGTCTTGCGCAACACCACACGGGCACTCACCTTTTGGCGGCGGGTCTTCGGCACGTTTTGCTGGATAGGGACAACAGCAAGAAGGAAACAGGAAAGGGGACTGAAGACAATGACACAGAGACAGAAAGGCGGACTATCAAGCAAAAAGGGTCTCTTGTTGAGGAGAGGAGACTGAGGTTTGACTTCGATTGGGATGCCCCTTTAACAAACCAACAGATTGAAGCTATTGAACTATACGTTCAGAGAGCGGTAACTCAACTCTGCAGACACTGAAGCTAAGCGACTTTGTCGAAAGATCACGACATTTGTGGCTATGAGGGCCTTAGGAGCAAGCAAGGGAACAAACAGGTGGCATTGGTGTTTGATCTGTGCCTACTTGTGCCTTGTTTTTGTGGTTATTTTTAATGACGTCTCAGATTGCATCATCTTTGCCTGTCAATACTGCTGTACTGCCTTTGAAGACAGCCATGGAGCTTCCCGCCTTGTGCGCGGTTTTTGGTGAGGTGTATCCGGATCCAGTGAGAGTTGTGAGCATTGGTCCGGACACGAAGGAACTCAAGACAATACAGGAAACACAGGGGGCTGACAAAATCAACGCCAGTGTTGAACTTTGCGGAGGTACTCACCTCAGCAACGCTTCGCAACTTGAGGTAATTTGCATGAATTTCTATAAATGAGGCATCTGGGAAAACTGGTAGAACCATGTGCACCTTGGCACCTTTAGTGTGTGCGTTTACCGGCCAATGTTCAAATGGTTACGAATAATATAGTGTGCAGGTTTTCACCGATGCGCGGAATTGTGCCTGAATGCACATATGATCACTCATGTGCACGATTGTGTTGTGAATCGCATATACTTTTGTGGTCCACTATCTTACATTGGGGGGATCCGTGCTCGTTCGCATGCGCATCCAAAACTTCGGTGTGTGGATCCTGAGTGTGGGGATGCTTCGGCTGGATGCATCGTTTCATTCGCAGGATTTTGTTGTGATATCGGAGGAGAGCATAGCAAAGGGAATCCGAAGAATCGTTGCAGTAGCTGGCGAGGCCGCTGTTAGTGCTCGTAGTGAACTTAGAGACGTCTGCGTAAGTTAAGGACTTTGAACTGCGAGCTTCTTTTTCTGTGCAGCCGGGCACATGCCGCATTATGTTGTACTGCCTTCTCCCGTTGGTTTTTTAGGGAACCATAATTTGGGTTCTGGCGTATGGAGTGTATGCGCAGCTGTCACTGGCGAACTTAGAATCCGCTTCCCCGACATTCCCTTTCTTCGAGAAGGAAGTGCAACAGGCGAAGTCTTTCGTGGAAAGCAACAAAACTATTCCTCTGTTGAGCAGACGACGTTTGCTGGCGGAGCTCGAGCATAAGCAGAAACTTGGGGTGAGACTATGTGCTTGTTGTCTTGCTACTGGGGGGCGGCTGGAAGTTGACACACATACCCAGGCACTAAATAAGCACTGTCCTTCTGCATTGCAATTAGTGTATGGAGAGGATTCTTGGTTTTCTGCAAGCAGAATTAATTGGTGTAGCTTGGCTGAAGAAGGATCACTTGCTCATTATGGAACTTTCCAGAGCGTTGTTCTCCTCGGGTCCCCTTGTGTACCCACTTATTCTCAAGTATGGTTTTTGCATCAATTCTTGTTCGCCTATCTGTTTAGTTCGTTTTTGCTCTGTGTGGGTGGCCTTCCGGTAGTTGGAATTGAGCAAGTTCCGTGCTAAGGAACTGTTGAGAGTGGGGAAGGTCCTGGGGCAGGAAGCAGCGAGCGCGGCGAAAGGTAAAAAGTTCGTTGTCTTGAATCTGACGCAACTGCAGGGAGACGGGAAGGCTTTGGATGAAGCGGCAAAGGTGAGATATTTTGGTAATCTGAGTGCATCTGCGTATCTACAGACGCCCACCTCCCGATCCAAGCTTACATGTGGAGCAGTCCATGTGGGTGTTTACCGTTTTGCTTGTTTGGCTTGTGTTGTACTGCCGGAGTCTTGGAGTTCCAGAATTTTTTGCGGATTTTATTGCCCGATTACTTACTTTTCTTGCTTCAGGCCCTGCAGGCAGCTGCTCCTTCACTGCCGTTTCTGGTGCTTACGGGTCTAGAAAGTCGGGGTACTTCATGCATTTCTTTCAGTCCAAAGGGTTCCCCTTTAGAGTCTTCTAAGTGGCTGAACGAGGCACTGAAGGAGTTAGGTGGCAAGGGAGGTGGCAAGGAGAGGAGCGTCGGGGCAGCCAAGGACGGAACTGTAAACGGTTTGAAGCGAGCGATCACTGCTGCCGTCGCATTCGCTGAGGCCGCATTGCAGTAGCTGGCGGTCTACAGAATTAAAAGCACGTGCAGCCACCATGCACATTGCTTACGTGCCTACCCATATCCCTCCGTAGAAGGGTGCCTGTCGAATGTGTACAGAAGAATGTTCATTGGCCGTCTCTACTGAAGTATGCTCATTGGCAGTCATTAGTATGTTGTTTAGCACGAGGTCTACACATTAGGCCCTTTCAGAGCTGCTGGTTGCAAAACATGCCAGTGACGGCAGTTGCCTCTGTATCCCTGCTTGCGTGGGGGCCTCCCTTGCTCACGCGTTCGGTTCCCAGATTGCGTGCTCTTAACTGACGCTGCAGCGCAGCCCGAGGCACTTACGTTTACCCTTGCCGTGAAAGTTTTCCAGCAAGGCAACCAACACTGTCTAAATGGTTTTAAAGAATGCATTTGTAGACGCACAACCATGGGTGGGCCTTTGCATGCGGTGAAGGCCCACCACATTAGACTTGCAAAAGCACTGCACTGGAGAGCTAATCTACATTTCAGGGTGTCTTTACTCCTTGATGCACGCTAAGAGAGGTTGGGCCCCACCCAGGGCAATTCTAAGTTCAAATGCGCAACATGAAGCGCAATCCTCACGCCTACATGCAAAGGTTTGTGTGCGAGAGCAGGGCAGTGATTTGCGACGAAGAAACATATTCGTGCACCGAATGAAACACGGAAGGTGTATCGTCTTGTTTGGGGAGGGCGGTGCGAGGGGGGGAGAGCTCCCAGTCCCAAGGTGATGGCGCTCTAAAAAAAGAGAACTGCTCTTTAAGGAAACAAACCTCGAATTGTTCAGAGTCGGGGAACGCAGCTGAGTCGCGCCGCAAGTCGCCGCTGCAGCCGCAAACGGCGCGAATCCAGCCACACTTGCATTTCTGTTGCTGCACATGCTGCGGGTGCAAAGCTGCAGAATATTAAATGCCCGCAGGCCCCCTTGACCGCGGAGCGAAGGTATCCCTGGAATATGCATGCAGATTCATTGGTATATTTCTAAAATCTCCACACATAGAACTGAACATTAGCGCATGTAAATAATATCACTCCGGCATTTGCAGTGTTAACAGCCCCCCAAGGGCACCGAAAATACAACACCCCAACAAATACGCCATGTGCATATGCCGACCATGTGCTCCCCCGCGTATGCCACGCATGGCTATTACGCCACTTGTACGCCATATCGATGTTCGATTCCTCCCGCAGTCTCTCCATACAACATTTTTCCACTTCTTCAAGGGGCTCCCCTGAGCCCAAACTTCAGCTGTCAGTATGGAGCACCTCGGGCTGAGCGGGATGCCCCTCCAGGCTGTCCCTCATCCCCTACGAAACCGGGAGAAACAAAGCAACAAACTACTTGGTTCTGGGACGCCCCTGGTATTCGAAGGAAATTGCGGTTAACTACAATCTGTTCTGCCACATACCTACGCGAAGTATGCAACACAGTTCAATTCTGCATACGACATACATCAATGCATATGCACGTACACTTCGGGGATACCGCTGCTCCACAGACAAGAAACGGCAGCGACTCAATCTCACCTCTTCTGACAGCCCCGTAGCCACCTTCGGCGCATCCGTAAGCGTCTCCGTAGCCTCCCCCATAATAACCTCCATAGTTCCCGTAAGCCCCGTAGGGATTAGGGGTGTACATGGGCGAATAAGCAGCAGCGGCTGCAGCGTGATAACCGTATGGCCCCGCCCCGCCCCCATAGTTTCCGTAGTTGTAGTAACCCTGCTCGTAGTACGGTGAGGTAGCGTAGCGGCCTCCCGGCAGCCTACGAGCACCTCTGTCTTGGGCTGGTTGAGCATCCACCTACAGGATGCACCACAAATACACGTGAGCATGCATGCAAGAGTGGAGAACAGTTCACTCGCGCCAACTTCCCCTCGCACAGATAGAAAAACAAATAATAGAAGATTTCAACAAGCATGCATTCACCTTACAATTCTTCGAACAGCATCAAACGACAGCAAGCACCTTGCAAAAAGCCAAAAGTAATTACTCACGTGCATGCATGCATATACGTCTACACATTACATTCACTAGCATTTATATGCAGTAATTTTATCCAAGCGCACTCTATTATCAGCGTCTAGTTGGTGAGGTGAAGCGCCAACGGCGATAGCAACCGAATCCACGGAGGTGAACTGCACGAAGCCAAATCCTCTACTCTTTCCGGAGCCGTCCCGTATTATGGTTGCCTGTATGCAAACACCGACATGAGCTTACCGTGATCTTCGTAGACCACTGGACTACCAATGAGACAACCAAACATGCATTCTACTACACAAACATTCCCAGGATCGGCAACTATATGAACACCCAAACGACATACACTGCTACTCACAGCAGCCACCTAAATATCAGAATCAGGGCAGCGGAAACGGCGCACTACAAGGCAGAGAGATGCAGGACCCCATAGAAACCATCTGCAGCGAAAAGCAAGAGAACCTAGAAGCAAAACCAGACTAAAAAGTACAGAAACACCCGCTAATCAGGCCGCGCTGAAGGGGTCCGCAAAAATGAAGAGATGCAACTGATACAAAAGGAGAAATGGGAAGAAGTTTCTGACTTTCTCAATGGACCCGAATTGCTCGAAGTGTTGCTGCAAAATTTCTGCGGGAGAAACACACAAGAAACCCACTCCTGGCATCTGTCAACCTTTCTGGTGATCCGAAGCGCCTTCCCAATGAATCAAGGTTATCAGTTCTGCAACCCCTGTATATATTAGCTAGATTTTTCGAATGGCTGTATGCTATGGGATTCATAACGTACCTTCCGTGATAGAGGAGGTAATGCCTCCTATGAATATTTTGTGCCTGTTCGCACTGCTGCAGCTCAGGCGCCTCTCAGGCACCCGTTCCGGCTGCCTCTCTGGAGCCGGCTTGCTGGTTAATTCCCTATTTCACAAGTCACAAAGTAAATAATCCTAAATTTGCACGGCCCAAGCCACCGGTCACACAACAGCAGCACGCAACTACACGGTCTGAAATGTATTAATGCCAGTGGCAGCTGGCCTGGATTTCAGCCATATAACAGTGTCAAAATACAGGTCCCTTCCCATATTTTTATTACCTAATATCCACTTGTCTGTCCCTGATGACGTGTTTTGCGCTTAAGAAAGCTTCTGTGTTCGCAGGCGGACGAACCGATATAAAAGCATATCCCCTATTCTTCCCTGAGCAATCAAAATCAGCAAAACATACGCATATCACGGATCCAGTCAGGAAATATCACAAAACTGGCCTAAATCCCTAAGCTGCAAACCCCGAAAATCATCGTACCATCGTACCTGTAGCGGCATCCATCTTGATGTCAATATCATCTACTGTGACAAACCCTGAAAGATACTCTTGTAGCTCCTCCCGGCTAACTTCCGGATGAAGGCCTCCAACAAAGAAACTCCTGAACACACACGTTTTAATGACCGGGGCCCGACAATCGTGACACCAAACCACGAACCCCATATCCCCATGTGCATATTGCGCAGTGCACCATGCGTCTGCGGTGACCGATTTGTCCTTACAGAAGCTCGCTGTTGTCTTCTGAATTCCCATTCCTATGCCTGTCATATTCCACCTGTCTGTCTCCGGATTCTGGGTGCGCAGCCACTTCAGTCCGTGACTGCCCCCCTGCGGAAGGGGACGGAGCATTCGCAGGGTCTGTTGGTGGGTCTGCAGGCTCTGTTGCTCCGTCAGGTGTCCATACACTCGGCTCAGGTGCGGCCTCAGAGGGGGCTGCCTGATTGCTCCCTTGCTGCCCCTCATGCACACTACCGCTGCCCCCAGCACCCTGAGGGGAAGCGGATCCTTCATACATAGTTAAAAGAGCACTCCCTAAACACTCAACTCAGGGCACTCGAGAACACCATGGGAAGTCAGGCTGGCATGTGGAGTGAAAGCTAAACCCGAAATCCTTGACCTTGAGAATTTCGGGTCTAGGCTTATCGTTTCCCAAGCAGCAATATGCAAGCCCCTCTGGAACCGCGGGCCCACGGAAGCTGCCTGGGGATAAAAAGGCAGACACCTATCAGTTGGGTTGGGGAAAACGCTATAAATGAGGGAGATATGAAAAAGAAGAGGAGTATTTGCTGGAAATCCGTAGCAACGTCACCCCGCACCTCCCTGTGGTTGTGTTACGTGCACGCCAGGAGAGTATGCTTCCCCCGCATAACTTTTTGAGGTGACCCGTGAGGAAAAAACTAAACAAAACAAAGATAGTGCCATTGTCTCTTAAAGCCCTAACCCACACCCCCAGGGGGCCCGTGGCTGTGCATGCTGCGCGCTGATGTGTGGGTTTGTGGCTGCAGCTGTGGCCCCGAGTTTGCTGTTCCTCAACTCAGTTTTCCTGTCACGAGACCCCATGTTTACTCCATATGTATGCCCCTTAAGCACAGGTGGCCTCCCTTACAGGCATCAGGAGTCATGGGGGCAGCGGTACAAGTGCCTTAGCCAGCTCAGAGAGCAGTTGGCTCGCAATGAGTTGCGGCGCAGCTTGCTGCAAGTGGTGCTGCGAGGCAACCCCGCATTAAAACACAACCAGTCCCCAAATTGATACATGCAGTAATGCTGTAGGCATTTGCCAACCACTGATTTATGTCTTAGTAGCTAACCTGTATGGAAGTACAAATTTATCTCTCAACTTGACAGAGGCCACGCTGCAACTCATCTGTGAAGGTGGGGTTTGCTGCTCGCACTTGCCTCCGATGCACCTTGCGATGCAACTGTATAAACTGTAAAACTGGAAGATACTGGCTGCTCAATCTCCTTTCAAGTCCTTGCGTATACCAAATCTACCGACGGTGAGCACTCCCGATGCAGCTGGCCTCCAGTCCAGCCTCCGAGCGTCCCGTGTACAACACCCCAGTGCTAGGGGCTTGCTTGTGGCTGGATTTGAGAGGAGCCAGTTTGTAGTGTAGGCACTGAAATAACCTCCAGGCGTGTACCCTAGCAAACACATTCGTGTCAGTGTGTACCGAGGGCCAAATGATGATATACAGGCCTATAAAATATCAATAGAGTAAGTAAGCGGGAATGCAACTCGATGGGAGAGAGTAGTTTCAGACCTTGTTTTGACATTGCTGTATGGCTGATCCGCAAGTGGGGTACGACGAGCCCCTCAACAAGTACTTGTTTGTTAGGCGCCCAAGTAGCTACCTTTAGCAGAACAGAAAGTGAAAGAATCAGCTTCACAAACACCTCGCTATACAGGAAGGGTTGAAACAACCCAGAATTGGCCTCCTCCTCTCCAAACCAGCCCCAGATCTATGCACCGCTATGTCCAAGGCGCTTGAAAACCCAAGTAGACGTCAGCTGTTCTAGCGAACTCTTCTCGCAAGTATTTTGACTCTACTGCAGCGCATCACTGCCCTAACCTAAGGTATATTACTGTTGTTACATTTCTGTATTCATTTTTCTGCTTGTCTCTGTACGCTAGCGGACGAAGAAATTGCGCCTTCGCAGTAAATGGCCCTACTAGAACCCCACTGAGCTCCTTCTCGAGATGGCATTAGCTGCCTGAACCTCAGAAATTGTTCGTTTCGTCCCCATGCAGGCTGTCCGTTGAACTCTATCCTTTTCGCAGCAGTTGAGAGGCCCCATGCACTTGCATAGGCCACCAGACAGGCAGTAGGTCGGTGAAACTCAATAGGTATTGACTCCGTGCTCTACGGCCTCAGCCCCAGATGTAACTGTGTGTTGGCTTCCATAGGCAACTAATTCTGAAGACTCAGAACTAGTCACAAGTTGTTTTATAAACCGCTCAAAATAACATGTGTCTAAAAAATCATCAAGCGTGACTTAAATATATTCCATTCTGAGTTTGTATTCTACAACTTACCAAGATCGGTTTCTCCCCAGGAGTAGGTTTGTCACCTGGATCTGCAACGCTTGTTAAACCAAGAAAATTAGCGCCTCATACATAAATAGGCATAAACGACTTGAATGCACAAATATTCGATAAGCCACGGTTTGTACTTATTGGTGTTATAGAATTGCTCCGTAAGAAACGAGAAAACATCGAGGCGGCAGTGAAAGTAAAAACTGCTCCGGAAGATATTAAAATAGTGCTTGAAGGGGACAATTGCTAGTATGTCATATTTGTGTAGGTATATTCGCAGATGTTCTTCGAAGTCGCAAGGCAGTTGCATAGGCAGGGCCGATTACTGCCAGTGGGGCGTGGAAGCCGCCATGCACATTAATACTAAAGTGCAATCAAAAGTATGACATGTAAAAACTTTCAATATCAGGGACGTGGACAAATAGGACTTCCTTCAATTACACCTTGTAAGCCCCTTGCCTCCGATGGTGGTCCGGTGCAGCCCTTACAGGGGAGTCGAAGGGTGTACTCAGGGACTCAGGGTTATTGAGCTTCCCCTTGAAATTTCTCCGTCAGCGCAATTAGCAAATCGACAAGCTGTGCGGGGCAGATAGTTTTCAAAACCACTGCTGGTTTTGATAAGTGCACAATTAAACTGAACTGTGCTTGCGGCGTTACCCTGTTGGGGTAAGCGCCTCCTGCTCACCCTATATAAATCTTCGGGCGATACGACTTTTTCAGCAGTCGGAAAAGGCCAGTTATGGTGCTCTGCTTTGTATTGTAATGCTTATATTTTCCATTCAGGCTTGCATTGATGACGGATCAGGTCTCCTTTTTGTGTGTTCTATGTAGTACCTGCTGTGCGCCTCTATTTTTTTCCAGGAAAACAGCATTGGATTGGGGGACCAAGAACACTGTTGTCATAGGGGAATTTCAATGATTATCCATGCTGGATATACATAATATACGGCTGGCTCCACCAGCTTCTCGATGATAGAAGTTTCTTAACGAGAAATCAATGCTAATGTAAATCTGGAGACTTCCCTGTGGAGCGCCTCTGCCGAACCAGAAGTAGAGCATTGCTCGAATCCCGATGCTTTGGTAGCATGCTACGCCGACTCCCTGGTCAGTGAGGAGAGCATGCTGATGACACTTTCCATCGATTGGCATCTTTTCAGCTAAGGTTTTTTCACTTCTACGTATATGTGTTTCTCCTAGCACATTGGTTCCCCAGGAAATCGCCCGTATCCAACGCAGTCAGCACATAGGAGGGGTAGGTTCACATCTATCGATTCGTGAGTTTCCTCTTTCGGATGTTCTTTGGGGCCGCCGGCGCCAGGCTGACCATGGAGAACCAGAAGCAGGCTTGGAACATTCTTCGTCTGTCGAAAGGCTTCTTCCTGTTTGTTGCATTATGGCTCGTGAAGCAACAGAATGCATGCTCATCGGAGGCACTAGAAAGATTCCCAAGGTACGCCAGAGAATGGGACGTGTCGAACGAATACCAGCCCAGCACTATGGTTAGATCGAATAGAGAACTCGCTCTCGAGCCGGAAGAAACGGATAGTCAGTATGGAATGCGGCGAGTCTCAAAGAAACACCTAATTGTTTTGTTTGTGGTGATCCTAATTTTACTAAAAGTAGTATCAGTTAGAAGAGAGCACACCAAACAGGCGAGAGAAAAGCTCAAACAAGAAGAGGCGGCGGGCGAAGGGGAACAGTTGCCGGAAGGTGGAGTGTTTTTGCCAGAAGGGAACCCTCAAAAGGGAGCACCGCCAAAGAAACCAGCACAAAAGGAGGACGTAGAGAAGCGGACGCCTCCCTCCGGCGTACGTGGTGTTCTTCCGGTGCAGCCAACTGCTAAAATGGCTAAAACGGATGAGAAACAAGTGCCAGCTCAGAAGGTGACTCCACCACTGCCTGCAGGAACCATAGTACAGCCGCAGTTTCCGGAACTTTCGACAGTAGGCCCACCACCGGCAGTGCGTGGAACGGGCCATGTGGTACATCCAATCTATCCAGGAGTCGTCAGTGAGCAGCGCTAAGGAATCCCAGGACACGGTACTGTCATGGTACCTGAGCAGGACACAAAACTGCAGCAATTGAGGGCTGAGCTGTTGCTGTTGCCGCTGTCGCCGCTCTTGCTATTGCTGCTCGTGCTGTTGCTGCGCTCTTGCTGTTACAGCTTCCGCTGTTGCTGCTCTTGCTGTTGCTGCGCTCTTGCTGGTGCTGTTTCCGCTGTTGCCGCTCTTGCTATTGCTGCTCGTGCTGTTGCTGCGTTCTTGCTGTTGCTGCATCCGCTGTTGCTGCTCTTGCTGTTGCTGTTTCCGCGGTTGCTGCTCTTGCATTGCTGCTTCTGCTGTTGCTGGCCTTGCTTTGGCCGCTCCTGCTGTTGCTGCTCTTGCCGTTGCTGCTGTTTGCTTACTGCTGCTCTTGCGGTTGCTGCTTCTGCTGTTGCTGCTGTTTGTTTACGGCTGCTCTTGTTGTTGCGGCTCTTGATGTTGCTGCTGTTTGCTTACTGCTGCTCTTGCGGTTGCTGCTCTCGCTGTGGTTGCCGTTTGTTTACGGCAGCTCTTGCTATTGCGGCTCTTGACGTTGTTGCTGTTTGCTTACTGCTGCTCCTGCGGTTGCTGTTCTTTGTGGCTGCTGCTTGTTTACGGCTGCGCTTACTATTGCGGCTCTTGATGTTGCTGCTGTTTGCTTACTGCTGCTCCTGCGGTTGCTGCTCTTGCTGTGGCTGCTGTTTGTTTACGGCTGCGCTTGCCTTTGCGGTCCTTCATGTTGCTGCTGTTTGCTTACTGCTGCTCCTGCGGTTGCTGCTCTTTGTGGCTGCTGTTTGTTTACGGCTGCTCTTGCTGTTGTGGCTTTTGCGTTGCAGCTAGCTCCCCTGCTATGCTGTCGGTGCCTCCTCCATTTGCTTCCGCAGTCCCCCTGCTCGTTGGGCTCCGCTGGCGCCTTGTCCATTGCGTTCGGAGTTTCCCTGCACATTGTGACTCTGCCTG